GTGATGATATCATCAAGACGTTTTTGTAAGAATCAAAGCGGAACATTTGCTGTTTTCATTAGTCTGCACATGAAAGGGGAACATAACATAACATAAGCATATGTTCCTTGTCTTTGGTATCGGCAGTGTTTCTATAGGTAGTCACAAGCTTGGTCCCAAATGACAGCTCTAAATGAAATCAATGTTATCTTTGTTCAGGGTGGCTTGCTTTTCATTTCTGAGGGCTGCAGTAATCGTGTCTCTCCAGTGGGGTAATTGTTTGGAAATGGGTTATACTTATGTGTTAATATCCACTTGTTTTTGAGGAAAACCTGATTGTAATATCATTTCTTACCGCCTGAGAGTTAAACATAGGTAATCTCATGCTATTTGTATTTCTTTTAAAGCCTGATTAGATTAACATATTTTACTCCTCCTCTCAAGAGAGGACAATGTTCTCAAATTAGCCACGTTCCACAAATCACCAGATAGCATGAAATGAACTGTACTCCCTTCAGGCTCAATTTGGAAGCTATTAGTAACTGCTCAATGCAACATCAAAACAATCAAAAGTTTTGCCCCAGTTTTGGGTCTGTGTTTTTCTCCCTTCAACCATCTCTTTTGGTGTACCTCTCTGTCGCAGTGAAAAAACAGCAATTAGTGACACCATATGGCAGAGAACGGCGAGGCCGCTTTGAACACCTCCCAGCCTGAACTCCTCCATATGCTGTGGAATTTGCCTGTTTGTTGTCTCTCATTAATGAGAAAATCGATGCACTGTTTTTCCTATTTCAATTTCTCACCTGTTTTCTCTCGTCGTGGGCGGGCAGAGGAATACATTCCCGCCCACACCTCTGGGTTTTACCGTCTGCTAGCCTGTGAAGCGGACACGTTTGCTAAGTCTCATTGTGTTGGGAGCACCTGCTTGAGTTTTCTGTGTGTAGGCTGTGTGTAATCCTGTACTGGCAATTTGTTTGTGATCAGATAATACAGACGGAGATGGTCGCACATTGAGTTTCTCAGTCAGTTGAGGCTTCGGGGGTTGTGCTGTGCAAAGCAGAGTGACTGCATTCAAAGAAATATGCAGTGTAGTTTAATTTTATAAGCCCCTGCTAATGTTATTTTGGTCAAGGAAGATGCTGAGCAGGAAAGAAAGTTGAGGAAGATAGGCTAAAGGGCAAGATTGGCACATCTGGAAGACACGAGTGCCACACTGAGAGCGTTGGATTGATGAAACGGGGATGAGAGAGGCAGCGGGAAAAGCAAGAAAATGAGACTGGACAACGGGGGGAGAGACAGAGGGAGCCCACACACCAGTTTTTAAGCTCCTGATTGCTAGTGGGACTGGCACAGATCCTCAGGTTGGCACAGGGCCAGGGTGACATCCTGTTGCCAGGGGCGACATTATGGTTCGGCCGCAGCCAAGGAAAGGCCGAAGCAGACGGTCACCTTGAGCCATGCCAGCCTCCTGTTTAGTTCTGACACCACCATTTATCGTCGGCAGCTCTGGATACCACGGCTTCACACATGCATGTGCCCACACTTGCACACAGACACCGAAACAAACACTGGGTGTTAAAAATAGCCGTGATGCATCTTCTTTTTTTTCTTTTTTTTCCCCCGCTATCATACCACTGGGAGTCAGCAGTTTAGCTGAGTGGTTAAACAGACCCAGAGCAAGTCTTCAAGGCCACCAGACCATTAACATGAAGCCATTACTCTGTTGTAGCCTCAGAACTGTGGCAGCAGGGTCAGTGTGGGATAGAGCGGCAGCATGAGTTGTTATTTATTCTGATGCTTCTTCTCCTTGTCTTTCCAGATTATGTTTATGACTCGTTGCCATAGCGGCAGTCGCATGACAGCCAGCACAAGCTTTTTTCACCCTGTGGGCTTATTGGCCATGTCTGGTTCAGCTTCTGCTTCTGTAACAGAACATTATGTTTGATAAAATGGCACGTGTGTGTGCGCATGTGTGTGTGCGTGCATGTGTCTGTGTACTAATAGTTATTTGTGTTTAGTCCATACTGCTTTCTCAGTGACAGCTTCCATTGCAGATCAGATTATAATCTCTTTTAACCTGACAGTCAGCGAGGGCTTGAGTGACATATCACAGGATTAGGTCACTGGGGGGGTACGACCCATACAATATGGAGTGTGGGCAAGCTGTCATCTAATCTGAACCCTCTTTGAAAGAACACACCTTCATGAAGGTCAAAATGTATTCCAGTATAGTTCAGTGAAGCAAAATGACACACACAAGCTTGTATTTATAATTAGTTCAAACCAGCAGAGCACAAACTGACAAAAACACAAGGACTATTTTTAATGTTTTGTATAAAGAAATTACCCCCCTTTTTGGCATTTCCATGCAAGTGTTTCTGCCAAGTTGGATGTCTGTTGATTTAGCTGAACTTCTCAAGGCAAATTGCCTAAAATGTTATGCAACACAAGAGCATTTAATGAAACTGGCAGCACAAAGACTCTTTATAGAAGTAATGAAAGGAGTATTTAAAGGATTCTGCAATGCAGGGTCCCTTTGACCCCGTATGGAGCATTACATTCAATGTGGAGCAAAATTACAGCTTTAGGCCACTCTGATTTCATGATACAGTTCCTTTAGCTTTTCTCTACCATCTCTGATGCTCTTTGTCAGATTGAGGCATCAGATAGTTTTGATGGACGTACAGAACAATGTCCTCACAGATAAAAATCCTAACACATGAGCTTGTGACCCCGAGACACATTCAGCCTCTGTCTGTAATACTTTGAGTCTCATGCATTCTCTTATCTTTCACCCACAGACACCTCTGTTCCTTCTTTTCACCTGTCACAATGTGATTGGATGGTGGAAAATTCGGCCTCTGGCGGTTCATTTAGCACTTGAAGGTTTTTTAAATAGAGGTCAGATTGTGATGCCCTAAACTCTGAGGGGTCAGCGCGGCAGATAATGTGATGATTTCAGCATACCTAAGTTAGGAGTGAAATAGGTATTTCCCGGGTTTTATTTAATCTGCTTGGAGCACCAGATGGGTTGGGTTTACCACAGCAGTAGATATTTTCAAATAATCCACCTCCCACAGAAAAGAACATTAAAAGTACACACGATGTTTCATCTTCTCGTTTTTACTATCCCGTTTTATAAAAGCCAACTCGTCTCTATCTATGGAAAAGTAGGCACTTTCACAGCAGTTTCATGTGTCACTGTTTATTGCTCCTGGATTCAATTACCATGTTACCATGTTCCTGGAGGGAGGGCGTCCATCATCCCTTTTCATTTACCTGAAAATCAAAGCAATGGACGTGCCGTATCTATGAAATGTTATTTCCTGTTATGTTGCATGCTGACATCTGTCCCCCAGGGTCCCTTTTCACTCTGAGGCTTCTCGCTCTAGACACAAACACAACCTGCCACCTGACACAACATAACCCTGTCTTCCCTGTCTTTTAATAATTCAAGAATGCTCAGTGAGAAAAGGTGAGCATTCAGGTGATATTTAGGAAATGTGAAGGAAATGAATAATGCCTTTACAGAATGGTATTACTAACTGGACAGGTGGTTGATGAATAAAACAAAAGGCATACATCTGCTGGCTGCAAAAGAATTGTTTTTATATTCACCTTCAGTAAGACAGAAAATGGCCCCAGCTGGATAAGCATAAATACACTCAAGTGGTTGTGTGCAACAGGATTTTGTAGATGATTCTGGCTTTGTTCCAGTCAGTGTTTTTATTTCACAGCAAAGACGAGACTTATAACTGAATTTGCTGCTCCGGCCACAGTGATTTATTTAGTGTGCTGACGCCAGTCCTTTCACTTTACTCGTCCCTGTAATGTGTGGCAGGCCACTGAACCTGGATAAGGAGCTTAGACTGTCTGACCCACTCCTGCACTCCCACTCTCACACAAAGCGTCACACAGGCACACACACAAAATCATCACACACACATTCATAGAGAGAGGAGCAGAGGAACATCAAGCTGAAAATATTTTTTCAAAGCCAAATTGAGTCTTTCTAATACTCTTAGTGGCACTGAAGTGTGTTTTGATATGACCCCTGGTGCCTCCAGTGGAATAGATGCTTTGTATTAGTTGCATGTGCTTTTGTGTATGGTGTTAAAATTGGTTTTGTTTGGCTGAATATTTCTCATCAGCCCTTGAAAAGGAGGAAGAAGATTGTAGCTCAAATCCAGGAAGGTGGAATGCAACACCGATTTGCCACAGGATAGTATTTGATTTCCCGCAGCATCCCTGTCAGAAATGAATCCAATTAAAAATTAGAATTACAATATTTTTTAAATTTTTACTGCAAAATCATAAATACCTTTACGTAATTAATTCATGGGCATTCCCATCTGCTTCATTGCTTTGTGTGGGCATGTGCGTGTGTGTCAGTTCTGCAGGTGCTGAAATTGCTAAAATTACTGTATCAGTGGCCTGGCTTTAATGAACAATGTGATATTTGGACATTTTTGTTAACGACAAAGTGCCTCCTCTGCACATCTGCTAGTGAAAAGGGAGTGATGGTGCTTGAAAGAGGAAAGAGGTTGTTTTGATAATCACTTTGACTTGTTCCCCCCTTCTTACTCTCTTTAATACGGTGTCATTATTACTGAAATGTAATTAGCTATGCTAATGGGCTGGCATTTGGACTTCCGTCTCAGCACTTATGTTGGGACTGGTAAAAATGTGGTGTAAATGAAGTGGGATGGTGAGTGGAAAGGCTGAATGGGCATGCGAGGGTAGAGTGGAGATGCTGAGGGTGTGATAGAGGGTGTTATTGAGTATTAGGGCTAAAGTACGCTGGTGGAAGTGCAGAGAAGGGTTTTTTAAATTAGGAATTGTTGGTGTGAAAGAGAAGAGCTGGAATCAGGAAATGGATAAAGAAGCTATTGGGAGGAGAAGAGGGGGCAAAAAAAGCCACCAAAACCTGTTAAATCAGTGTGTGTGTGTGTGTGTGTGTGTGTGTGTGTGTGCGTGTGCGTGTGTGTGCTTGTGAAATGTATTTGTACGTGTCTGTGAGTATGGAGCAATTACAGGGTACCTCTGTAGCACACAACAAAGCCATCCATTTAGTGCATGATAGCTTTAACAGGCATATTCCATTAATGTTGTACTGCAGCATAAGATGCATTATGGTTACAGAAACCTAAAAAAAAAAAAAGGCTCCTGGTATCAACACTGTCTCTGACTCTCCCTTGAGCGATTCACATCAGCATAGTAAGGCACTGTTCTATGAATTTAAATAGCCACCATCTTGAATAATATTAAGATGATATAATTGAATTAATGCATTACTAAATTAATACTTGACAGCAGAGTGTGTAACCTTGTACAGTTTGTGGGAGGAGTCTCTGTCCATATCTGGCCGGCCATAATCACTGGTGGTGAGTTGTGGAGTCATTAATAGATTAAGAGAGATCAGAGATGCTCAAGTGCAGAGCAGGGTCGTCTGGGAGACAGCAATTTAAAAGCTGAGCTTATGCTGAGCTTTTAATTTTTACTGTCCTGACATGTCCTGTCTTTCCTTGTCTTGTCTTGGCTCGTCGGTTTCTGTACAATACTTCAAACCAGACATTTACAAAGTGAACTTTACACACTTACAGCTTTTCTTATCCACTAGGTGGCGCTGTGCCTCTACACTCTTCTCACAAGATTAAATAAGAAGTCTTGGCTGCTCAGAAAGCAAACCCAAATATCCTTAGGGTGAATAGATTATGATATGAGCAGAAGCAGCGTTATTCCACCCTGCAGGAGGCTGTTTGTTTTTCCTTTAATGGCTGAAAAGAGGCTGTTCCTTCTCTCCTCACGAAGCCTCGCACCCCGCAGACATACCTGTGTGAGCGCCGGGCGCTGACCCACGTCCAACCTCCACAACCTCAGAGAAGGATCGAGTGTTTTGTGGGGCTGCCAGGAGCTCCATTAGGGATCCAGACCAGCTGAGGTTCAGTCTGTTTTAACCCTCCAACCCCCCTCCTTTCTCTCTTGGACAGACTGGAACACTCCTGAGGTCTGCAGCCTAAAGGAGTCTGTTGGTCTATTCTCACACATACAGTAAACGTGAAAACGGTTGTCTCCATTCAGCTTATTGTAGTCTGTGTGTGTGTGTGTGTGTGTGTGTGTGTGTGTGTGTGTGTGTGTGTGTGTGTGTGCACCTGCTCACCCTCCATTTCTTTCAACTCCCATGGTGAAGCCTAATAAGTCCCTCACCATCTTGTTTTGATTTTGTCCCGGGGTTGTTTTTCTAAACAGTTTAACTCTCCAGGGAAGTTCAGCTTTTCTCATTGTCTGACGTGCAGGCGTTAAGTGAAGAGTTATCTGAAACGTACCAACAAAAACAAAAATGTCATATTTTGATAGACTTTCACAATGGCTGAAATTGGTCTTTATATTCTGTTGCTCCATTGTTAATTTATTGTATTGAACCAGAATCATTGACAGGTTCAGCACCTTGGATAGTTCCTTCACACGTTTAACCCAAAGTGTAGCTCTCCAGGAATAATTTATTAGACACCAAAACACATTGAACTTGGGAGAAAGACTGGCGAAAACAGAAACAAATTGTTCATGGGTTCATCAGTCAGTATGGTCTGTTCCATTATTTACATCATTGACTATGTGTGGGCTGAGTAGTGCTGCAAAAAAAAACAGTATGTTAAAGAACAATAGATTATTGTCTTTTTGTCTGGCTGCAGTACAGTACAGGCCAAAGGATTTTCTTTTCTTGTGGTAATATTATTGAGTAGAGATTCTGAGTGTGTGCAATGTGAATGCCTCACTGGATTCAGCTTTCCACTGTCATAAAATAGTGGTTTTGTAGTCGAGAGTGCACTAGTAAAGGCAATGTATATGTAAATATGAAACACAGGATTGCATGAATATTTCTTTGAACTCAACTACTCTCAGTCCATCTGTAATAACTGCACGGACACGCTGGCACATTCACAGTAACCACACTGAATATACACGAATGTAAAACGGACGCTGATAGATACTCGTTTCAAAGACAGGTCCGTGGAAAAGGCTCATGATGGCTCTATGACGGCCAGTTTCAGGGCTGCTCAAGGGAGGAGTGTCAGCAGTGTGATTATCCACAGACAGATAGCGGATGACAGCTGCCATTGGTTATTGATGACTTTCATAATTAAAATCGCTTATGGGGGGAACCCAAAGAACAAAAGAGAAAATCACACAAATGATGAATGGTCCTTTCATCTTTAAGGCTGATATAAGACCTACCATGCTATTCTGCATGAATATTGCTTTCCAGGAAACTCTCTGAAACGGTTTCAAAGAAGAGCCCAGTGCTTTTAATATTGCCAGAGCTCACACTGCCTGTTTATTTGTTTGTGAGTCTGTGTGTGTGTGTGTGTGTGTGTGCGTGTGAGAGAGAAAATGATCGACAAAACATGAGGAAAATGGACAGACTGAATAAAAGAGAGCACAGGTCAGCCAGAAATGCAGATATAACCAGACAGGGAAAAGAAGAAGGGGTCACCGTACTGGAACACTAGTATTTTCTATAATGTCACTGCAGCAGTCGAGGGGATTGGGGTAATTTTGGCCCTGCAACACGGGTTTGTTCCTGTTCCAATTCCTAGTAGCAGCGATAGTAGCTCTCACAGTTGGAGAATATCTCTTTAGATGCTGAATTCACAATAGTTGGACGAATAATACTGCCATTGTCCTATGTTGTTTGTTTTTCGGCTGGTTTGATGGTAAAGTTTTACAAGCAGTAGCACAATATCTATTGCAAACGATATAGATCACAGAATCAATATGAAGATAGGTTAAACACACTTAACACTGTTTTATTTCTTCTGTCCTTGGCTATATTATCTATAGACACTCTAAACTCAGCTTCTACTGCATATACTGGGTATATCACATGCTGTATGACATCCAAACCTCACCTCAGATATTGTATTCACTTCCATTGTATTCTGTTCTATTCAGTACTCCCTCCCCCGGAGAAAACAAACACACAGATGTACTGTATGAGACTGGTTGAGATGAAAGAGGACCCTTTTTGAAGAGAGTACAGTAGCAGATCAGACAGGACGCCTGCCAGTGATAGTCTGCTCCCCTGCAGGCTCTATAGAGTAGAAAGCTGCAAGCCTCAGAGCACCGCATGGTATCTGTGTGGATGAGAGACAGAGAGAGGAGGGGTATTAGAGTGCCAGCAACACATAGGGAATTCCTGCACGTCTGTCCCAATGCTGTGTTTGAGTGTGTGTGTGTGTGTGTGTGTGTGTGTGTGTGTGTGTGTGTGTGTGTGTGATGCTGTCAGAGTAGAGCTCCCGCTTCCTCCCCTCCTAACCTGCTAAACGGTCCCCTTCAACCCACCCACCACCACTCAGTTCTCCCTCTCCACATCAGGACGGGGCTGCTGTGACATCATTCATTCCCACGCACTCTGATTGGCTGGCCGGTGGAGGGAAGTGGATTGTTCCCGCAGCCTACAGTGAGAAATTAAGAGAGAGAGAGAGAGAGAGAGAGAGAGAGAACGTGGGAGGGAAAGACCGAGGTAGAGAGTGTGTGAGAGGAAAAGCGAGAGAGCGGCAGAAAGGGACTAAGCAAGAAAGATTGATGCTGAGGCAAGCCGGCACTGTGCTGCTCTCACTCACACTCATACACACATACACACATACACACACACACACACACACACACACACACAAACAGTCTTTGCATCACGCGTACACTCGCATCACACTCCCAAGCTGCTTAACAGGCAGGAAAAAACACTGAGTGTGACGGACTCTGCAGCCCATTACTGCAGGACAGGACAGAGGACAGCAAGACGTAAAAGACAAGAGGAGAACAGGAGGGTGAAGCCTTCGTCCGTGCTTTGCCCCAGAGCAACAGTTCCACCACTGTCATCTCGGGAGGTCCAGGGCTCCAGGGAGCGCTTTAAAGACAGCTCCCCAAAAAAGGGGGAGAGGCAGCAAGGGCAGGAGCAAGGGCAAGTGTAGCCTCTCCTGGAGATTGCCGTGGATGTCCTCTCAACGTCCCCATGAAAACCGGCGGGAATCGAGGCGTAGTCAGGGGTACAAGATGGCACGACGAGCAGGGGGCGAAGCTTCCCCAAAAAAGAACACATCCCTCAACCTGGTGACGGGGTTCTACCACTACCTCCGTGGTAAGGTGCACAGTGCGTTTGCATGGCTGCGTGTTGGAGAGTGCGAGAAAAAGAAGGAGAAGTACATAGTGTGTGTGTCATTTTGCATGTGTGGAAGGTTGGGCTGTGTGTGTGGCTGTGTGTGTGGCTGTGTGTGTGTGGGTGTGTGTGTGTGTGTGTGTGTGTGTGTGTGTGTGTGTTTATGTGTGTGTGTGTTTATGTGTGTGTGAGATTTAGCGTGGCACTGCAGTATGGACTGTACGTGCCTACTGTATGTGAGTGAGTACATTTTGCAGTGCTATTTCCCTCAAGTGTTCCCTGCAGGGGGAGATTTCTTTGGTCCTGTGGGTGTGGTGTGTTTTAAGCGAAACATTTCAAGGGGGCGTTTCCACCTTAGAAGAGTGTGTGTGTGTCTGTCTGTACGTGGAGGTCGCTGAGCTCTGAGCTCTACAGCAGGTGAAGCAAGCATACCCAGCAGAGAAGTAGCAGCTCGCTGCATGCGTCAGAGCACAGCAGGGCAGACTGTCAAAATGTTTGATTCCTTATCTCTCTGTCTGACCCTGTGGTCGTTTGTATTTTGATACAATGCATTCAGCATTCTGTCTCCCTGCTTCTCTCACTGTCTCACTGTCTGATAGATTAGATTAGACCGGAAGATAATATTTCTGTGGATTTGATTCTTCTCACATTATCTATGTATCCTGTGGGGAAATGAGCAAAACAGAGAATGGGGTAGAATGGTTGCTTCACAGCTTGTTTGCAATGAGTTTGTGCATGTACTTCCTTGCTTTTCTGTCTGTGTTTGAGCCAGTCTTATCACAGTTTGTCAGGAAACGCAGCCTCTGAGACAACAAACTAGATTTTAATGATATTCCATTAAGGTCATCTTCACTGTGGGGGGGCCAAAGTGGGAACTCAGGGGCTGCGGCTGAAACTAATGATGATACAGGCCAATGCTAGCCGAGGAGGTAATCAAGTGTGTTAAAAACGCTGCTGCGAGGCTTGGTTGCTGAGGACATCTGTATCCCTTTGTGATATTGAAAGAATGTGAGCGTCTGTGTGTGTGTGCGCCGAAGTGCGACTGTGTGTGCGCAGAGTTCAAAGTCACCTCGTCCCTGAGACTGGGAGGCTGGCGTACCACGAACGTGCAGACATGTTCTCCGTCACACATGTTCCTGCTGTAGGATGCAGGGGGCTGAGTCGTTCTCATTCTCATCCAATATTACCGCCCATCAATATTTGATTACTCCTGGACCCAATCAAAAGATTAATTCATAGAACGAGGACCAGCTCAGTGGCACGTATGACTATGTGTGAATGTATCTGCATTATGTATGAACAAAACCCCACCACCACCACACACACACACACACACACACACACACACACACACGCACACACACACACACACACACACACACACATACACACACACACACACACACACACACACACCTCTCTGATACACACACACCCCTTACTATTCATCTGCCCACAGTACCCAGTGACACACTAACCAACTTGAGTGTAATCAAAGCGTCAGCATATTTCATTAAGGTAGAGGAAAGCACTGTGTCAGACGTCCTCTCTCGCTGATAACATGCTTATCTCAAGGATATTGCTCTGTGGCGCAGACGGGACAGAAAAAAACACCGTCACATGTGCCAATCACTGTACATGATTGGCTCCTTAGAGTCCCAGGTAGACTATACATCTGTGTTGTGCACATTATAATGGGAAATGTGTGACAGCTGCACATGAATTTGTTGATTACAGATGTAACCGTGGCAGAAGTCCCAGTTTTTTATTGCATGGGCAGTAATGAATAAGGATAAATTACAGCAGCAATGCCTTAGCTGGTCCAAAAAGCCTGCAGAACATACACTTCTAATGCTATCACTGTAATGTTTGTGCAAGTGTTTATATGCATGTATGTTTGCCTGTGCACACATGATAGACAAGGCTTGATTTATGTCTTGTTTTCATTTAAGTTAAGTGGCTTTTTAGGGGACATGGTCAGGAGACATCTATGCTATTGATTGTGTGTTTGTTAAATGGGCTTTATTGCCGTCGCCCACACAGACAATGTCCTTCAATGTGTGTAGGTAAATCAGTACATTTAGGCTAAGGTTGGCTTTATGTAAACTCCGGTCAGAAATGAATAAAAGCCTCTTATAGATCATGGAAGAGGTACATGTCATCGCATAGGAAGATCCGCTGCCCTTTTATCATCTAAAGGGCAGTTTTGAGAGCAGGATTTTCTGTCCACACTTAACTCCAGCTAGTGAAAATGCCATCTTTAAATGTCAAATGCCTTCTCTCACTACATCAGTGTAAGGTATGATTTGGTGCAACTGTGTTCAGACACATTAGACGGAAAGTAATAATATCAAAGTTAGAGTCATCATCCGGCTCTGCAAACCCAATCAGCTCTCAGAACAATAGACAATGGGAAGATTGTGTTTTAATCCGCTCTTTGTGTATTATTGCATGTGACTGATAGTGATGCTCTGGGCTCTGATTTACAGATGAGCAGGAGGCAGTGCAGAAAAGGACATTCACGAAATGGATCAATTCCCACTTGGCAAAGGTAAGAGAGTCTGGTTGATTCCCACTGCTACTGCCAGCATTGTGTTGTTGCTTTATACAAACACCGGTGTCGGTGTTTGTGGATTGTAAACTTCCCAATCTCGTTGCTTTTCCACTTCAAATCACTCAAGCTCTCCTATACTCCATTCACAGTGCTCGCTGTGACATTTGCTCCATTTCCAAACACACACCGTGGAGCTGGTCATGGGACCGACTGTGCAAGCTAAGACCACACACACAGTCATTCCTGCTTGCATGCCTCTCATATTCCTTTTTATTCCTCCAATCTCTTATAGCTTGTAGCAAGGATTTACTCTCACTCTAATTATCACTTTCACATTACAGCAATTAATACACTATAAATCTTTTTTCCTGCAAGCTACTGTCAGTTATTTAAGTCATACTAACCTATGAGCAATCTCTCAATACGGGCCAATTTAGATTGGTGGAGATAAGAGTTTTTAGTTAAAGACTGCCCTTCGTTTGCCTCTTCAGAGAGCTCTGACAACAGTATTTTTGTAACTTGTGTAAATTACACTTGATGCAGCCGCATGCCGAGGAGCCATCATATGCGTGTAATTATTTTATTATACTGCATTAGGCCCCTCAATTTAACCCATTACTGCTTGAATAGTGTGTCAGGAATGGGTGGACAAGGCAAATATGGCACGGTGCAACACAATTAAGTGTTATTTCAATCTGCGACGCTCCTCTCAAGGTTTCCTATTTGATTACGACAGCTGTGGGGGCCTTGAACCGCAGTGACGTGGAGCAGAAAATTCATTTGAAAAGCACTCTGAAGGGAATAAACCTTGACGTAATATTAGATATCACGTCTCAGGACCGTGCCAGCAGAAAATAACACTCAGCAGCCCAAAATTTAAATGCCTTGAATTTTTAATAACATATAAGATAAGCACATAGTTTATTTATTAAGTCATTTTGACACAATTGAGTAGAGCAGTGGTCTCTTTGCTATTTCATGGTCATTGAATATGCTGGGGTTTGTGTGATTTGGTGAAGGATGAGGACTCCATACCAAGGAGAGAGATCCCCGAAAATCTGGATCAAAATGCTTATAGGAATAACTCAACATTTTGGTAAATATTTGTTTATCTGCTATCTTGTCGAAAGTTAGGTAACAACAACACCACTCTTAGGTTTCACCACCAGCTTCACAGGTGCTGGTAAGTGGATTTTTTTAGCCAGGCTAACTGGTTCCCCCTGTTTCTAGTGTTTATGCTAAGCTAAGCTAACTGTTGTTTACAGCTACATATTTACTGTACAGATGAGAGCGCAGCATCTGTCTTTTCATCTAACTCTCAGCAAGAAAGAAAATACATACATTACCCCCAATGATTAAGTACTCTGTTAACTGTTATAGCACAGTGTCTGGTTGACCAACAGTCCTGATACCAAAGCCCTATTGATGCAGCAAAAACACAAATAAACTTATTTGACAAAGAGCCTGGAAATTTCATTTAAATTCCCTTTAATTAAACAATTCAACTAATCAATAGATTAGCGATACCATCACAGTTCCATCAGAAAAGATAACCATGTTTGTTCCCCCACGCTTCTCTCTCTACCTAGTTGATCAAATTAGTTGCTCTCCTCCTCCTCACCCATCATGAAACTGCTTACCCTTTCACCTGATGCCTGACGTTGCCATAGTGACACTGATTGGGCCGTATACACCTTCAAAAATGCCTTAGTCGTCATGGCGGAGAGCTTTGTGATGAGAAGGGGCCAAAAGTCAATTCAGCTGTTGCAGAGGAACTGTTGTAATAAGGAGGTGCATTTCTTGAAGATGTCATTCTGTGGAGCTCGTAGAGGTAAAATGGCATCTCGTGGGCTTGTCTCACATTTATAAACACTCTACAAAGAACCATTTAAAGAAACTCATTAGGCAAAGAAAAAAAAAACTGTGAGAGCGAGACAGACAGAAGGACAGAGAGAGGGAAGAAGCTTTAACAGTTGGTTTAGCTTTGCTCTCAGAGGGATAGATCATGCCCTTGGCCATGCAGATGATTAGGCCACTCCAGTTATCACAGGTCTTTAATACAGCGCCTAAAGGTATGTGATTAATCGTTAGGTGAGTTGAGACATGGCAAAAGGTTTCCTTTCACTGTTACTCCCCTCCCCCTTACTTTTCTATTCCACAGGTATAACAAAAGAAGTCTTATGAGCTCTGAAAAAGAGTGTCTATGAGAGAGGACGTATTGGAGCTGGTAATTTATACAGAAGATTAATGGCTCTCATTACTCGGAGAGGTTCACCAGATTAAGTCACCAGTTAGAAACCAAAGGTATAAACTGTAAGAGAGCAGCAGGGCAGTGCTTTTTGCAGGTTGTTTCTTTCGTTTGAATAGAGGGTGACTTTGTTTAAACCTTCAATTAGTCACGTATATTTTAGTATTTCTTGCCTCAAAATTTTGCCTACAAAGGCACACTTTTGGTCTTCAAGTAAATATCAGGCTTTCAAGCTGCACCCAGCAGTGGAGTGACAAGTGAGGGAGGGGGGGGGCGACTCAGTGAGCGGACCCCAAGTTTCCATTTTGACAAATCCTTTCTGAGAAGGTTAAAGCTTAATTACGAAGTGGCCGGTGTGAGCAGCAGAGGCCTCATCGTCTCTCAGGCGTTTTCCAGGCAAACAGCTTTAGTGCAGTAATCAGTGAACCAAGTGTTCTTAGAGATTACAGCAGCAGTAAAGCGAAGCTCCCCGCTCCTCTTCCAGTGTTTATTTCCCTGCTCCCCCTACCCCGTCTTTTTGTGGTGGAGGAAGAGGAGGATTGAGTGGATGACATACTCCATCCACGCTAAATTCAAACCCAGCACATCCTGGCACATGGTGTGTGCCTTTGCCAACTGAGCTGTTAGGATGTTTTTCTGAATTTTTTAGTTTCCCTCCTGCTAAGTATGCTTATAGCCTGTTGAGGGTGCAGTCAATAACTTGTCTTTTGGATGGTCGGTTCATCAGTCAGCACTGCTTTTGTCCGGACTGAAATATTTCAATAAGTACTACCAGATTGCCACTAAATTTGTCATACACAATCGTGATCCCCTCAGGATGAATTGTAATGTGGTGATTTGACTCTCTGTGTAGTTTCACCATCAGAGAAGATATTAGTTTGTCAATTACTTGTGTAATGCTAGTTACAGAAAGGTTATCATGCTCACACGTTAGACTAAGATGCCTCAGATCCTGAACATGGTAAGCATTATACCTGCTAAACATCAGCTTGTTACCATTGTCATTATCGGCATGTTAGCACTGCTGACAATGGACAATAGGTATCTAGTATCAGTTGTTCCTTCAAACTGGATGTATTGCAATTCAAAATGAAACCCTTCATTCTTCTCTTTGTTTCTGCCCCTCCCTCAGTCTTTCATGCTGTTGATCTTTTGGAATCCACTGAGTCAAGTGTACCAGGGGAATAGTACGAGAGCACAGACAGACGAACATCCTGAAACTCCTTTGCTCACAATCAATTATGGCCCAGACACTCATAAGTAATTAGCTCATTAAGCCCTTGATTTATTTTTTTTAGCTCATGTGGCTGAGCAGAGGAAATGGATATTACTTTCTTATTTTGTAATTAGTCAGAAATTTCCTCATTAGCTTTGGGATTATAATGAACAAATAGGTAAATTTAACTTCAATTAGCTTGTGGTATAATTTATCCCTTTGAAGGGGTCTTTGTAAGTGTTTCCTCTGTCACTTTATGATATGGGCACGAGTGCTGTCTGAATACTCTAATATCCAAAGCCATGAAATGACATTAGAAGAGGAATTAGCGAGTAGAGCTACTGTATTTGCTAATTAATTTTGAAAGACGTGAGGTTAGTGTCCCTTCTCTCTCTGCCTTCTATCATCTTTCTCGCTGCCACTCTTTCTACTCAATTATTCCTCTCTCTCGTATCCACTTTGTTGGGGGTTGTACATTTCTCTCTCTCTCACCAGACACACACACACACACACATAGTCCACTTACACATGCTAACACAGACACTGTCGTGCACACATCCCAGCTCTCGCCTTTCCTCTCCTCTCTCTTTCTCCCTCACTCTGTTAATCTCCCTGTGAATGGCTCGCTCGTCTGAATGCCCCCCCCCCTCCTCTAAACCTCTTCTCAGCCCCAGCATGTGACTGTGCTTTAAGAGAAATCCTTGATGTGGCATCGGCGAGAAACAGAGATATGTGGATTTCCTGAGTCTGGAAGTCTGTGTCAGGTCATGGATGAAGTCAGTGAGAAGGATACAGTTTGAAATCATCAGCATATTTTAGGATTTGAGGACCCCATTCAGAGCATGCTGAGTCTCTGCTTATGGCTAACTCTAGCTGTCAGTAATACATGGCGGCGCCAAACTCTTTTGGGGCTTCAAGTACGTTTTTTATGAGGATTTCCTTTATCCATGTTTCACAAGTTTAAATTAACGTCTTACGGTGTAATATATTTATTGTATTCTGGTTTATTTATTCACTGTGCTACTTAGAGAAGGATAATGTGCAGAAAAAATTGTTCTTCCGTCATAGTTTCATGTACATTACAAGAGTCATTAACACTCAAATCCCAGGACTTTGCATTCCAGGAAAACTGAGAAAGCTTTGTTTAAGTAAATGGCATGCAATATTTATGTAAACAATGAATTTATGTAATTACTTTTGCTTAAGTAAGTTAAACCCCAGGTACTTGATCAAGAATATCTCTTCATGTGCTTCTAGAGCAGTTGCAAAATCAGAGGCTTTCCATCTTTAAATGTCAAAAGCCATAACTGAATTTTATCCCTGCCCCATTTTTCACTGCTCTGGACCTCATTTACAATTTTCTTGCATTACGTGTGTGTGTGTGTTTTTTTTTTTTTTTTTTACAAGGTAAAAACATAAAAAAATTAGACAAATACAAATAAGGCCCGTGGTTATATTTGTTTTTCCACTTAGCGTGTCCCGCCTCTGGTGGTGACAGACCTGTTTGAAGACATCAAGGATGGTGTGATGCTGCTGGCCCTGCTGGAAGTCCTCTCTGGACAGAAACTGGTGAGTCTCGTGGTCGTCTCTACAGCATGTGATTTGGCTACAGACTTCAAAGGCTTCATATGCTCTGATAATTGCTGGATTAAATTTTTGACTTGGTCACGTTGAGTTGATTTAACACAGAGCAGAACTGTCAAATAGCTGAAATTTAGCCAGTGTTTTTTGATTGTTCGTTGTTGTCAACGCTGCCACTGTAAGCATTTTTGACAAATCTCAAAAGAGCTACCGACCTAATGCAGGGCATGTGAAACAGGCCATAATTACATGGAAATGCTTATTGATCGAATTGTATTAGGATGTTTGAATTGAGTAGGAAAACCCAGATTAACAAGGACAGATGAGAGGGCGCAAACACACACACACACACACACACACACACACACACACACACACACACACACACACACACACAATACAAACAAAGACACACACAGCTTGAGGATTTTACTTGGCCAATATTGCCTAAGGTCTTAGTTGTCTGTGTCCTATTGATCTGGCTGTTTATAGTAAAACACATGTCTGATTGGACCTCTGTCTTTCTCATTTTATTTCTGAATCTATATTTTCTATCTTAATCTATCTCTGTTTCATTGTTGGATTCCGTTTTGTTTCACTGTTTTTGTATTTGACGATAGTGTCTTTACTGTAGATGGTGTGCGCTGAATATCCGTACGTGTTCTATATTTAATGCTCACAAGTAACAGTATCTAAAATAACCTTCTTTTCAACAACACTGTTTTATTTTATCCACACTCTCTATTTCTTCCCCTCTCTGTCTTTCTATTTCTTTCTTTCCATCCCCATTGTTCTCCGTTTACCTTCCAGCCATGTGAGCAGGGCAAGAAGCTAAAGAGGATCCACTGGGTCGCCAACATCGGTACAGCTCTCAACTTCCTCGAGGGTAGGAAGGTAAGAGTTCAGCCCCTTCGTTTTATGTTTTTTTTTCCTCCTGTGTTTTACCCCTCCTGCAGCACTCCCTGCTCTGCTGCTGCCTTGTGGGTGCAAACATTGAGTCTTGACCTTATGTGACCTGTTTCCCCTTCCTCCCCGCCTCTCACTCGCTCCACTTTTCAACATCCCTCTTTTATCCTGATCCCAGTATGTTCTGTTTTTGAAGATTTTGTTGAGTAAAATAAATGGTATAAAATCACACATTCTTTGTCCTTATCTAACTGGGATTCATTTGTTTGTCTGGCTGCCTGTAAATGACAAAAAAATATTTGAAAATGCAATTACTGGACTATAATTTTATACCTCTTGCACATTCTTGTTTTCTTTCTGCCATCTGCTCTTTTAACCTTAGATAAATACCAACAAGATTCAAACCTCTCTTTCCCAGCTTTAATGGCAAAATTACATCCAAAACTGCGCACTGAGGTTTCGGATGTAATCATCTAACTTCATCAACTGCCCCTCCGTGAGATTAGTAAAACGTTCTCAAAGCTTCACCCGCCTCGTTCTTGGATATACATAAATAAAGCCATAAGTATGAGCTGGTGTCTGCAGGGACATTGATTTGTCTTCCTCAAGTGTGACAGGGTTAAAACTGTAAATCCTACACCAGTAATCTGCAGTCTGGAGATGAGACGCCACTGGGCACTCTGCAATATATATCTGTCCCTGTGTGATCGTGTAAAACACTGTGTAGAGAATTAAATGTAAATATGCTCTGTGTGTAAATCTGATGTATGTCTAAACCATATTTACCCTTTGCTTTAGAGGCCCAATCGCTTTATGTCGGATGCATTTTTCTCTTGTGTCTGTTTCACAGAAAGCGTTAAGTGTGTGGTTGTATAATGATGTTTACCATTTAATAAATCATATTTGTAAACTGTTGAAAACCTGTAATATATGTACTTAACTGAGGGCTTCAAATCATCAGCTATAATGTCACCAAGGGCTGCACTAACAATTATTTCACCATCGTTTACGCTCTTTTATTTTTTCTCAAGGCTGTGATATGAGGGGGGGATAAGAGAAAATTTTCCCTATCACAATTTCTCAGAGCCCAGGGTGATGTCTTCAGATTGTGTGTCTGTCTAACGGCCCAAATCCCAAAGATATTAATTTGACGCTGAAACAAAGAAACCCAGTGAATCCTCACATACATGAAGCTGAATGTTTGGCATTTTTGCTTGATTAATCATTTAAACAATTGACCAATCATCAGAAATGTTTTAGCTTTCAGTGAGTTGACTGATATCTATGAATGATTTAAACACATTGTTGGTACAACCTCTGCATGGTTACCTGTATTCTTTTTGCATGCTGCTGCTGCGTGTGTGTATGTGCTTGTGTGGTCATAACACAAATGGCTTCTATTAACCATTCCAGCTTCACACCCATGTGTTGCCAGGATAACACACTGTGTTTTCTAATATGAAACCTTGTATTGCATGTGTTCTTATCACTGTCCCACGTTCCCCACGCTGCCCTCACCTGCCCCCAATCTCTTCCTCCATGCTTGTTCGTCTATACGAAGTGGCATGTATTACCGTGTGATGACCTGTTGTGCTGCAGCGCATCAGTAATATAACCCTCTGTGTGATAATATAGAATACTTCATCATATCACAAGATACAGCCCTCTGCTTCTCTCTTTTCTTGCTCATCTCTCCCCCTCTCTCTCTCTCTCTCTCTCTGTATCAGTTTCTCTGTCTGTCCATCTCTGTTGGGTATAATCCCTGTTGCCTGCGTAGTGGCGATAGATCTCTCCTCTCAGCCAACCACTCAAGTTATCTCACCTCAGAGATGCTACACTATCTGCCATCTCGCAGTCAATGAGGCGTACCCCTTCAATCAAATGCATCTAGAGTACTTCTAAACTCTCTCTCCCTCTCTCCCTCTCTCCCTCTCCCCCTTCCTCCTTCTCTCTGGCTCTCGCTCTTCTCCTTTTCTTATCTGCCCTCCAGTCTGCCTACAGAGGATCTCCGGTTAGTATTCATAACGTTTTTGCAGGACATAGGATGGATAGGGTCAGGAATATCTACATGCAGTAGTGCTGAGGATTATGCCCATACTGTATATCGTTCATTTTGTGCAAACATATGTACGAAATCGAATAACCAGATTGGGGGAAATTGTGTGTACTTAATCCATATGTATGAGATTATATTGAAGCATAAGCGGATAAACTGGAAGTGATTGCGATCTGGAATTACTTGGTGTTGTTATGAGATATTGAAATACTGGATGTTGTGTTTTGACACAGATCAAGCTAGTCAACATCAACTCCACAGACATCGTCGATGGACGACCATCAATCGTACTGGGGTTGGTGTGGACCATCATCCTCTATTTCCAGGTGACACTGCCTTCACTTAATTTACATGAGGACCATTAGTTAGTTTATCAAATGAATGCAATGTACACAATTCAGTATGTTAAGTTTTTGCTAACCAAGTTTTATGGCGTAAACGTCTTAGTCAATGATTTCAACAAATCACCACTATAGTTCAGTACAAGGACTTTAAATTGACAATTAACATGACTACCAATATACAATCAGCATGGTCCTGCATATTAATAGCACATTGTCAAATTAAGTTCAAGTGTCGTAAGTGTTGTAAACTAGCAATACTTTATAGGAAAACAGGAATGCTTGAAATGTATATTTTTCTTGATAGCAAAAAGCTAAGAAATATCAAATGAAGAGAGACGGGAAAATCAATCTTCCAAAGCATCCACAGTGAAAACGAGCAGTTACTACCTCAGGCAATTTAGACATTCACAGATCAACAAGAGCTTAATCACAACACTACAGTCTCTTAGCAACATCAGTGCATGTGTGGCTGCTATTCCAGCAAACATAAGGGTATTAAATAAGGGAAATGTACAACACTGCAAAATGTACTTACTCACTTACTGACATATTGATGTATTTAATTTCACATTGATGTTTATGGATTTTCTGAGTTGTGGGCAGCCACAGTTTGCTGGCAGTCGAGAGGAGAAACTGAGAAGTAGATTATGCGTGCATAGACATAAATCTTCAACAACTGCCCAGCTGGCTAGGATGAAATCTAATAATACATTTTGTGACTGTTGTCCCTAGAGGTGCACATATTTTGATTATTTTCCACACATGGCTGATATTAAGGAGGCTCTCTGTGTTGATAAATATTTCATCATTTGTCAATTGAATTGCAATTCTATACAATCGCAGTTACAGAAGAATACAGTGTTTCTGTTTTATCAGTGCATACGAGCGCACAAAAACAAAATAAAAGACATGAAATGTAAATGTACTCTTTCGCCTAAAGGTGAGGTCAGGTCATTGAGCTGGCAGGTGAGGCGCCCCCTTCGAGTTTTTTATAACTTTTCACATTGCTGCATTGATGCGTGGTACTCCAGGCTGTGCCAACTGTGACTTCAGTGGTGCGACTGATTGAAACTTTCAGTCTGACAGGGCAGAGAAACACAGCTTTTCATCCTTACAAGACTTTCAACTGCTACATGCACCTGAATGAATAAACAAGCAAAGCGATATAGGCCTTCCAGGCAGGTTCATTAGGTCTAATAATAAAGCAGATTGAAGGCCACTTGATGACACATTTATTCTTTGGCATATCAAACCAAACACAAAAGGCATCAATAAAGTCGTAGCAAAATCTTTAAAGCACAATGCTTTCCTTATTCACCATCCTATCACCATTAAACAATGGTTAAAAAATGATTCCAGAGTAAATACGGAGGTAAATAAGTATGTGTGGTGGCTTGACTTTTCCCTCTCTCCTGTTTTGTACAGATTGAGGAGCTAACCATTAGCCTACCAGCACTGCAGGGCTTTTCCAGCAGCACCTCCTCACTGGACAGTTCCACCAGCAGCACCGAGACCACCAGCCCACCTGTCAAAAGGAAACCCCTCCCACCTCAGGGTGGAGCCAGGAAGGCATTACTGAGATGGGTCCAGCAGACAGCCACCAAGTATGTTAACAGTGTCTCTGCAAAGACAAATATGCTAAATGCTCTGCTTTTTAATATATCACCAGCACGAGTGTAATGTGAGAATCGAATACTTTGCCTTCTCCGAAAGCTTCAGTACCGCAGGTTATGTTTTTGTCTGCTGTGACCTTGTGATCCTCTCTCTTCTCTAGACGCTTGGGGCTTGAGGTGAAGGACTTTGGCCCCAGCTGGCGCACAGGTTTAGCATTCTTTGCAGTCATCCATTCCCTCCGGCCCAATCTAGTTGACATGGAGCGTGTATGGAGGAGGCCCAACCGTGAAAATCTGCAGGAAGCCTTTTTATTGGCTGAGACTGAGTTAGGCATTCCACAGCTCCTTGACCCAGAAGGTAAACAATATTTCCTAGAGACTTCTTCATTAAGTTGATGAAAACTAAATTGAACAGTTCTTGGGTCAGATAACAACCAACCGCATTTGTACAACATCATGGGATCAAATTAATTCTACAGTCCCTTCCCGCTGTATTACATATTCTTTTTTTTCTCTGCTATATGATCCTTAATAGAAAACAACAACGTGACCTTTGCGTTACCGACTAAAATAATGTGAAATAACCTGATCTGCATCAGCGTGACCTTTCGTGTTGCTCACATCATGAGAGATAACTCACTCCACATAGCATTTAAATCAGTAGCTATACTCCTCATGGGTATCTATCACAGCATCAGATGTGCACCTCAGTGTCACTGCCAAACACCATCTGTGCCCCTTCACGCCTGCCCTTCAGAATGAACTCTGACAAATCAAGCTTGACATCAGTGTAATTAAGGTCCATTTAGGCTGTGAGATTCAGCGTGGCGGCACCTCCAAACAGAACTTAGGCACCGATCTGAAGTGCGGAAGGTGCCGGTTGTCTGTTCCTCAATAGATACGTCAGTCAAACATGTTTTTGTCAGTGCCCGTTATTTTTTCCCTTCATGCCTCAACTTGATTTGACTTCTGATTGCTTTCATTTGGCTTCCTCCCTCCTCAGATGTCGATGTAGACAAGCCGGATGAGAAATCCATTATGACATACGTAGCCCAGTTCCTGAAGCATCATCCGGACCGAAAGCAGAGCGACTCAGACGGACAGACAGAAGAAGAGGTAACCAGCTGTCAGATTTGTCTCAGACTGGTTACGCCATTCATTGTCTTTCCTCTCTCTGCATCCTAAATGTTTTGTCTTCAAATGTCAGTTAGTGTGTCAGACGCCAGCCACGACACACTGTATGGATATGTATAGATGGCATTTTTGTCTTTGTGTAGTTAAGTGTGGACAGCTGGGTATTTCCAAATATTGCTTGTTGCTTGTTTCAACCAACTGTATGTAAGTGCAAGGTGGGGAGGGTTCCTTCATGGTCCAATACAGTAAAAGTCAAGCAATTATAGGGAAGTGAATTTCCTTAATTGAAACTGCTTTCTGGAGTGTTCTGGCACTGTAGCTTCCACTTATCTGCTAAAAGTAGGTTAAAACAAACACTTGTCATGTGACTCAGGTCTGGTAGTGTGTTGCTTGTTTTAAGTCTTTTCTTGTTGCACATCTCTGTCTTGGTATGTCTCCTTGTCTTTCTCTCTCTGGTGTTTTTGTGTGGTGACTGCTTTCCTGTGGTTGTTTTGCTGTCCTCTGTCCTACAGCGTGGTCTTGCTCCTCGCGATATAGAGGAAATGTTAGAGGTAGGTTATATAGTAACTTAAGGTCCCAGGGGCAGGTTTTCCATCATTTTCCGCAGCCCAATGCAATTAGCACCCATGCACAATCATGGTTTCCATATAAATTTGATTAATGCTTATTTTTGTGGCTCTTCTATTGAATTACAGTACGGCTGTCTACTGTACAGTGTATGGGTGAGATTAAACATTGTTTTTCCATGTCAAAATAGAGCCTATATGCTAATATTGGCTCTTTATCTTACCTGATGTGATATTCCTGCCGCAGGGTTCCTGAGCCATGATACAAAAGGAAGTCCAGTATAATAAGATGTGATATTACCATTTATTAATGTTACCACCTAGCGCTATGGCTCCTGGTTCCATTAGCATGACAATGAAAGCCTCTGGCATTGGCAGTGTGCATTGATACCGCGTATGTGATGGAAAGCTTGTGAATAGAGGTTGCCTGTTTTTAAGGTTAACAGTGTCAGGAGCTGTGGTGTGCTGTAAAGCCGCGCCAACCACTTGCTCTCTGTGTCACACTGTGTTTTGTTGTCTTACAGCGCTGATTAGGCTCTTTGTGGTTGTTGTGTTTCGCACCTGCTTTGTTCTTTGTTGACAGTTCTTGTTAACTCGCTCCCGAATGTTCTCTTTCACTGAAAGAAGGTCAATTGGATATTGTTTGTGTTTGTGTTTTCACATAAAAACAACAAAAGTTTTATTTTATGAAATAAACAACAGCTGAAGCACTGGTAGAAATATATATATATATATATATATATATATGCAGAAGTTGTGTTGAGTACAGTATGACAGACAATAAACTATTTCTCTTTAGAATTAATTATTCTTTTTACATCTTGAGCTGTCATAAAGAATTAAGTTTGGGCTTCCTACATGAACCAATGTGAAGTGAAAAAACCGGACAGACTGAACAGCGCTGAAACTGAATAGACAATCACACAAGCTTTTGAGTGGCATGGTATTATCGTCATGGTTACTTAAAATCCAATGAAATGTTAGTAGGGGGTCTTAGATACAGTACCCTGTTTAAGCTGAGTGTTTTTGGCAGCTGTGGGTTTTTGACATTTTGTCCTACAGGGAGACACTGGGGATTAGGAGAACACATGTTTAACAGTACATGCTTTGCCCCCTCTTTCACCCTCTTCCTCCCTCCATCCTTTCATCAATCCCTCAAACATCTCTCTGGTTAATTACTGTTACTCTCCATCTTCTCCCCCCCTCTCTCTTTTCCCTTACACCCTCTCCTCCTTTTATTGTATTTGTTTCTCATTTCGCCTTTGCACTTCCCAATGTCCGTGTCCATCTTTCCACGCTTCTGTCACCCCATCACCCCTCCTCTGTCCCCACCTCCTAGAGAGAGCAGCGAAAGAGCCTGAGGGAGCTCAAAATGTGGCTCGACCAGCTGGAGAGAGATGCAATACAGGCTCAGGAGACCGAGGGCAATCTCGCTCAACAGTACCAGGTTAGTGTCTGTGTGTCTGGGTGTGTGTGCAGTTTAAACTGGGCACAGACGCTCCTATTATTAGCTTAATCAGTGGCGCTACACTGTGGGGATCAGACGGCAGCCGTCATATTTTCAGTCAATCTGGCTTATTTCACCAAGCCTCGGGATACATTCCATATTCCGCACCATGTGGGATATTCCCATTTTCCTTGCGCATTATTCAGAAGAGTCGGAGAATCTGAAGCCAGAAAGAGACACGGCATTCAGAGGCAATTAGCCACAAATTTTCATGAGCGTCTGATTAGATACCAATGGGAGGAGGGCGTGACCCCTGAGAGAGCGCTTGTTCTGATGTCTCTATTCTTTAACTTGAATATTTTTACACATACTTTCACAAGAAACAGAGATGTGTGAGCCGTGTGAACAAATTTCACGTCATGTGTTTTTTCAGTTGTTCAAGAGTCTACGTGTGCAGTTGGAGATGAGGAGGAACCAGGTGGAGGGAGCTCTGCAGTCCACTCAGAGAGATGGGATACTGACTGTGGATCAGGCTCTGGTCAAACAAGCCTGGGAAAGGGTCTCCAATAGGGTGAGAGAAGAAGGATGCGCCATCAGCCTCTTCTATAGAATCAGCAATTTATAAATGATGACTCTTACTTGGATCTTAGTCTATTATTTCTTTTGTTCTGTTCTTTCTTGTCTCACTAATGGGATGATAGAAAAAAAACAAACACGCAAAGCCACTGTCAGTCAGTGGAGAGTTTAAAAAATATCCTAAAGAACACATTAAACGCGTGAGACATTGTTGTTGTTATGTGAGATTCAGAGTCCCAGGGTCACAGTGTGTAGTCTACCAGACTGAGCTGACTTGAGAACTGTTAAAACATTTTTGTTTATTCTTTATACTCTGTGTCTCCTACTTATTAATAATAATAATTAATAATAATAATTAATAAATTGATGAAACAAAAGCAATCCATCAAATATGCTTTACAGTCTGTTTATTGTCAGCATGTGATCACCAGTTTACATTGTGTCTGATTTATCTGTAATTAATGTATTTTAACTTTTTATGCTTTAATCAGGATGCCAAACCATGTGTACCACCACGAATTGATCTGGAGAATCACAATCTGCTCATAGTGTTTCTCTGTTTGTCTTACATATCAGCTCCTGGACTGGCATCTGCAGCTGGACAGGTCGCTCCCGGCGCCCCTCAACATGGTGGGGGCGTGGCTGCACGAGGCTGAAGGAGCCCTGCGACAAGAGATCATCATCCATCAAGCACATGACGTGACAGCTAACACTGTCCACAGAGCTCTGGAGCAGCACAAGGTGAGCATGGAGTGATATGGAGAAGATGCAAATCACCTTGCAGGGTATGCAAATCTCAAAGGGCAAAAAAAGGTGCTGGATGGAGAGGCAGCAGCCTGCTCTGCTACTATTATAGTTGAAAATGTACTCGCTAGTATGAGCAGTGCCGCATTTTGATCTAATGCTTTCTAATCAGAAAATATATTTGTTCTTCACATGGTTTTTGCTGTATGTCTTAACACGTTGCAGGATGTGTTGAAGAGCCTGGAAAGTCACCAGCAGGTCTTTCAGAGGATCCATAAGGACAGAAGTGTTGATGGAGTCCCTGTTCCCCCAGACCAACTCCAAGACATGGCTGAGAGGTGGGGAAGGCTAAAAATTATATCTCAGAATATGAAAACTGGGACAAGTTATTGTTTTATTTTTTTAATTTAATTTTGTAATTTAGTAATGTTTGATGTCGGGGACCCATTATTGGATATATAATAACCACCTCGCTTGGCAGGGTTTTTTCCTTGAAAAAGCAGAATGTGGGGGTCAAGCTGTGGGTCTGATATCTCTTGTAAACTTTGTCTTTTTTTTTAGGATGAACTTTGTCTCTACATCTTCTAGCATCCACCTGGCTAAGATGGAATTCTTGGAGAACAAACACCACATGCAGGCTTTCCTCACTCTAGCTGAGACCAAGCTCAAATCATGGATCATCAAATATGGCCGACAAGAGTCTGTGGAACTGATGCTCCACAACTATGTTGTAAGCTCAGTCGCTCTGTACATGATGTGCTGTAATGTTAATCTTCTCTTCAGGGTTACTTTGCATACTTTGAAAGTTAAGAAATGTATGTTTATTTAAAGTTTAATTTTACAATATTATTAGATAAAAATCATAAGGTTATAAACTTATTTCTTGCCACATTGTATCCGTTAGCTTTATTGCTGTATATCCATTATGATGTTGCTGTCATTATTGTCAGTTCATGTTGCAATAGTTTCTTATTCACCTGTATTTTTATCAGTCATTTGTGGAGAAGCAACATTTCTTTGAAAATTACGAGGCCTTGTTCCAGTCCCTGAAACAGTCTGCTGAGGTCTATGTCAACGCTGACAGCTCAGGTGAGTAGATAAAATATGAATAGTATATTTAAGATTTGATATTTAGTATACAGAATAACCCATCATTAAAGGTAACTCTTAATATACCCTCTACCTTTTAATATACCGACAATATACTGACTCAGTTTATATTTACAGATGTTTTGCTTAAGCAACAACATTTCTCAATTCAGGCTGTTATTATGTTGTTATTATTATTGGTAATTAATTGCACTTAAGAGCCACTGATATGGATTTTATATCGTGATATCGCTATCTTGTGATACAGCAAATGCTCTGGAAACTGGAAAATCTTGTTTATTGATTAAAAAGCCAACAAATTAAATACCTGACAAATAAGTGCTCTTTAATGTATTGATGTCAAAATCACATAAAATTCCCATATTGCAATAAAGCAGTCCAACTCATTGATTAGGAAGATTGCCCACAATGGTCTAATACATTCAGAAATATTAAATGGATACATATCTCAGTGTAAATGGACAAAATCACAGATGGTTCACACAATCGTTATCATCATATTGCCTAACACTAATTACATTGTTGTCCTTTGAATGTTGTTTTTTATCTGAATTTGACTGGATTCCTCCAAAGTGTGCTCTCAGACAGTATCTCATCATTGTACGCCATATCTCAACTTTATCTTCCACTGTCAACAGCTCAGGAACCAATGAGGCTTTCTCTTCCAGCTGCTCAGTCTGCCCCTGTCTGGTTTTACAGCTCGGTAGAAGGGGAGAGTCTGCAGGCTACAGCTAAATGAGGTTCCTTCACTCTCAGCTCTCAGTGGGGAATACGACCCCATTTGCTAGTTAGGGGCTGCTCCACTTCTGCACGTCTCTGGGCGCAAACTGAGCTAGCTTGGTGGTTTCAGGGTCGTGCTGCTTTAGGGTATGCAGAGCAGAGCAGAGAAGTGAGGTGTGGCAAGAAATCAGGACATCTGAAGCTTGATTGGTCGATCCTGCAAATTAAATGCCCCCCACCCCCCGACTACCACACATGCTTGAGCCCTGCTGGTAGTTGAATGGCTCTGAATGGCTGGATGAGAGCTCATTTGGGTGTATTTAAATGCTCAGTTTCAGGTAATAGCAAACGGAGGAAAGGCAGGAGGAGAGGGGAACTGATACGTAATTTATCTGCCATTTTAAGGCATTGCACTAGTTGATTAATGTCTGTTTGAAACTGGCTCATAGTAGTTTGTGGTACAGGACTTTTGAGACTGGAGAGTTCGTACCAAGGGAATGAAACACACAAGCAAAGATAATACATCTCCTTCTAGTGAGTTTTTGGGGTCAGAGATTTGACTGCGAAAGCGTGTAGCTCCATCAGCCTCAATGTGTTCTTCATCTGGTGTTTCTATGAATACTGTATGCACCATCTGTCCTGTGCCTTAAAGTGAGGCTATGTGACTTTTGCCAAGCAGCGGTCACAAGTGGCAAGTTTATATAGTTCACAATAGTTCACAAGTCAATTTATGGACTCAATAATAACAGTTACACAGCAATATGTATGTAAAGTTTTTTAGCTACTGGTCATACCAGACCAATTAAAGCTTTAGATGCCAAACTCCTGAGTGGACTGAATGGATATAGCGGTTCCAGCAATAGGTCTGGTTTTTGAAATATTCCTGTTCCTGTCATTGTTGTTTAAGTTGACATATCTCTCCTCTAGTGGACGAGGGCGAGATGGGGGTGCGCAGGTTCATGCGGGAGGTGGTGACTCAGTGGAGGAGTCTGTCCATGGAGGTGCGCAGTGTGAGGAGCATGCTGGAGGAGGTGCTGTCCAACTGGGAGAGGTACAGCTCCACTGTGGCCTCCTTACAGGCCTGGCTGGAGGATGGAGAGGAAGCCCTAAGCCAGCCTGAAAACACTAAAAGGGTATGGGAGTGCCTCCTGATATTGTAGGAATTCCCATCATATACTCAAAGTTTTTTTTTTTCCTGTACACAGTTTAAGAGTCCCCTCATACATGCCTTTGTTTGATGGACTCAAAAGCCTCAGAGTAGTAACAATCGTCAGCCCAATTTCAAGCATTTAGTTTTCTGAGCGGAATTCTATTAACAGTCTCCACTCATGTATCAAATGATCTCCTTGACTTACAACAAGCCACCAAGGATATTCCAGTTGTCGTATTACCATGGTTACCTCAGATTCACATCCCCACCAAGGATTAGACAGCTAATTACCCCAGTTTTTTTATTGTCCTTTCTTTCAATCCCCTTCTTTGTTTCTTTTTTGATTAGCTGTCTTTGTTTCTTTCTTTGACACTCAAGTCTTTGTTTTGTTCTTTGTTTCTCTTAATTTCTTTGTGTCTCTGTTTCTTTCTGTCTTTTTAATGAGTCTGTCGCTCTTCCAGGAGTTTTTCAGGAATCTCAGCCACTGGATGGATCAACATGCAGCCATGAACGACGCTGGGAATTTCCTCATTGAGACGTGCGATGAGACCGTGTCACTAGACCTCAAGCAACAGCTACTTCTTTTGAATGGACGATGGAGAGACCTCTTCCTCAAAGTCAAACAAGTAACAAACACTAAAAATAACATAACTAAAAATACTGCATGTCTGGCAAAAAGCAGAAATGGGGCAAATGGTATTAGACTGATTTCACGTACAGGAAAGTTTAAGACTTTTTTTCATTTTGGTTTACATTTCTCAATAAAATTAATCCCTTACTCTTTATCATCTTTCTTTTGCTGCAGTACGCCAGAGCAGATGAGTTGGAGAAGTGGAGAAAAGACCATTTGAAGGCTGTGTCGACTCTGAAAGAGCTGCTCGACTCAGCAGAAGCCAAGCTCAACGCTCCCGTTCAAGTGTCTTTCCTCAATGTTAGAGGCTTTCTGCAGGATGTGGAGGTGAGGAAAACAAACTTTAATCAGGTTAATCCGTTATTTATTAAAATGGTGATAGAGTTACTAAAAACACACAGCAGCTTTGAAGTCAGAGCTGCAGACAAAATAACTGTGTGACTTATAGTTTCTATTGCCAAAAGCAGTTTTGATGAAAGTGCATTCCGTTTAAGAATGACCCCTCTCATCTCAGAATACCAAGCAAAAGGTTGTTGCCATGGAGACACAATACAAGTTGGCCGCCCGCAGTGCTCAGCTCCTCGCTAAGGACGCACCACAGGATGAGACTGCCAGGGTCATGGCAACTGTGGCAACAGCCAAAAGTCAGCTGAGTAAGGTAGGTATCATTTAAGGCCAAAACATGAGAAGTAGCGTGAAATCCATTTCAAGTCTGTTGTTGAAAGCAACACACCTCTTTAGTAAGACTTAAATATCCTAATTACACCCCATTGTCACTTTCTGTGTCACTGTTTAATTTGACCTCTCTTATTTGTCTCCAGGTCAGAGAGCGATGTCCCTCCCTAGTGAGAGAGTGTCATGTACTTCTGCCGCTGTTAGAGGAGATGGAGAAACACATTACTGCTTTTTACCAAGCCCTGGAGCGGGCCAGTCACATCACTTCCGCTGCAAGAGACCCAGACTCACAGGTCCAGACCCAGCACAAACAAAAGTGGCAGGTCAGCTATGATAGCAATGCAAGGATTTAACTTAAATGATTGCCAAGTCGAAGCCTTTTCTTATCGTAGTAGTTTTGGCCATCATTTTGGACTTGTGCACACAGCTAGAACTCGAATATGGTTTGATGATGGATATTTCAGGTCTGCTGACCATCATTTTCACTGTCAAATAAGTGGTTTAAATCATTTGATTAAACTGGGGATTTGACTGGGGATTTGTTTAAAGTCTGTCCATCTCATGCCACTTGTGAATAAAAATGGTGGTTGAAAATTCTGTCTTCAAAAGGAATGGAAAATGAGCCTGATTCTTGTGTCTGTTCTGTCACCTTCACTACTCTTTCCTGGTCATAAAAAATATTCATCTTTGCCTTTACAACCTGTTATTAATATACATTTTTGTCAAGAAAAACTAATGGGAGTGGAAAAGCGTAACATATTTGTTTCACCGTTGTTTCCACAATTTCTCTAGGATTTGTTAAACCAGCAGCAAAGCTGTAAACGATGTCTATCAGTGATTGAGAGGAACCATTACACCCTGCAGAGGACGCTCTCTACCAGTAAGGTGCTCCGAAACTTTGACTTGTCACTGCTGCAAAAGAGAGTGGCTGAAATACAGGTCTCGGCACAGGTGAGCACTATACATGTGTGTCTACCTACACATACCAGAATGCCACACAGTGACTGCATTACCCACAACACTGATTACATTAATGAGATTACATGAGCATTGAAACACCCAGGAGGCAACACTGCACATTGGACTCATTGGACTCATTATTCCATTGCTTCATGTTAGACAAATAATGTAATTACACAATATTACCGAGGAGACCAATTACAATCACCACTTCCTATTGTCCCTCCTCTCAGGCTTTGCTGAAGGAGGTTGGGGAATGGAGAAGGCAGGAAGAGGCTAACAACTGCCTGAGGAGGAGGTTCGAGGAATCGCGACAAGAGCTGGAGAGGGTGCTGAAGAAAGCTCAGGGCTGTTTGAGAGAGACTGGAGACGCTGAGGAACTACTGAAGAAACATGCTGTAAGATCAAACCTGTAATCTTCTGCCATAGAGGAGGTACACAAGGGATACAATTCATTTGGAGACACATTACTACTACCTAAATTTGTATTTTTGTGGAGTAGTGGAAGGGCGCACAGTATTAACCTTTACTCTATTTTATTTGGTCTCCTGCTTCTCTCACTTCAGTCTTGCCTTTTTGTAATGCAGGATTTTTTCAGCCAACTGGATCAGCGGCTGCTGAGTGTGTTCTTGAAGGCGTGTGATGAGCTGACTGACATCCTTCCACAGGAGGAACAACAGGGGCTGCAAGAGACTGTCCGCAGGCTGCACAAACATTGGAAGGTCAGAGGTCACCATGCTTTAACACTCTCACTAATTACTGCACATCTCTTGAGGCACATAGCCGATACTTCATTAACTTAACCAGGAGGACCTTTGGCTTTGATAGAGTGTCCTCCAGTCTGTTTTCCAATTAACCTATACTAGTTAGATTAAAATGCAACCCTCTCAGTGTTTACTCACAGTCTCTCTATAGGATATTTAGTCTCTGACATTTTCAGGGATGATACAGTATGAGACCAAAACTCATGTATATTATACAACATGTCTTGTCTACCATGTGTCTTATATTCTGTGTCTTCTCTGTCTTTTCCACAGGACATCCAGGGCGAATCCCCATCTCACCTGCTCCGTCTGAAGGTGGAGGTGGAGCGAAGTCGAGTGGCTGTGATCCTACAAGATTGCAGAGCAGAGCTGGACAGAGAAATGCGAGCCCTCTCTGGCACCTGCACCAGTGAGCGAGTGATCAAAGAACACAGAGTGAGCCTCTCGGATTTGGTAGAAACTTAAAAGAGATTAAACCAAGAGTGAGAGAAAGATAAAAATCACTTACCGTCGCTATCCTCACCATTCTGGAGCCTTTCAAGTTTTAACATTTCCTTCTTTCTTATCTCAAGACTTTCTTCAGAGAACGCAAACCTCTGACTTTGTGTGAGAAGAGGATTAGAAACATGGAGGATCTGTGTCACAAGTTACCTGACAACGACCCGGCTTATCGAACGCTCGACTCCACCAAAAGGGCTGTGGAAGAGGTTACAGAACAAATTAAGAGCACCCACCTCAAACTGGAGCAGAACCCTGATAAATGGAAAGAGTGGAATGAGAGGTAAAGGTTGACAAAAACTCAGAGTCCTTACAGCATCTTAAACATCTTTAAGTCTTACTTTTTCAGCACCGAAGTGGGTTCAAAGTAGTTGTTCCTTTTTCTAGGTTCTGTGAACTTTCTGATTGGGTCTCATCTCAGAGGAGGCAGGTGAGGCTCTTGAGAGAGACTGCAAGAAATTCCAGCCACCAGGAGCAAGTGAATGCTGCTGTTCAGGTGAGCCAGTAAACTGCGTTTGCTGCTGTCGGCACAGAGTTATGAGTCAGTACAGCTTGACTTCAGTAAACCTGCATTCTCTTTTTTGTGCTTCCACTATTTTCAGGCACTGCAGGAAGCAGTAGATGCCCGCGAGGAGAGCTTATTGTGGCTTAAACGCCTCCTTGCTGGGCTGTCTGAAGTTAGCTCTGAACTGGAGGTCCAGAGACAGAGAACAGCCCTGGCCAAACTCTCAACTGACCTGCGGGCACTCTTTTCTTCGCTCTGTCAGGTATTCCAAGATATTCTTAGAGTTAAAAATGTTTCCATCCTTGTGTTTTTTTCAATGAAATCCCAGTTGTCTGATCCTCTTCCACGTTCATTCACAGTGGGGTGAAGAGGGCTCTGCCATGTTCCAGTATGAGGAGCTGAGGGAGGAGGTGCGTGGTACTCTGGAGGAGGTTCTGAGAGCGCAAAGTGAGGCCGAGGAGCAGACCAGCAGGATCCTTGACGCTGCAGGCCTGGAAGAGGCCAAACAACTTTACCTTATTCACCAGGTGTGTGTAGAAGTGGGAGAGTGAACACGTGCAACATGTTTAACAATTCAAATTCTGTATCAAAATGTCTTTTATCTACATCTTATGAGGCATTTTATTGAAGAATATATATAAATATATATATTACTGTTCAATAAAAAATTAAAGGAATTAGTTTTGGTTTACATTATGGTTGGTTTGAATGAGTGGTAAGCAGTCGCCTAATAGCAAGAAGGTTCTGGGTTCAAACTCTGGGCCTGGGGCCTTTCTGTGTGGAGTTTGCATGTTCCTCACCACCCATAGGTGAAATATCAAGACACCTCACAAAATATGATTAGATCACGTCATCTGACATGTTTTCTTGTCTGTGTGTGTTTTACAGCAACACCTTAAGCGCCTGCATGCTAACAGGAGAGAGGCAGAGCTTCTGGTTTCCCACTGCCGCCAGCTGCAGAAAGGGGAGGAGCTCAGTCAGTACCTACAGGAACTGGAGGGAACTCTCAGAGAGGTTGACCGCAAATTAGAGGCAAAAGAGCACAACCTGCAGGTAGACTGAGGCTGGATTTCTCTCACATCAGTGTGCTAATGTTTGCAAGTGTGAGTGTCATTGATCATTCACACACACCCCTGCAGTGATCATTGATTGGTCTGTATTGAACATGAACCAAATCATGTGGTATGTGAATTTTGTTTGTGTCTGTTGTTCTGGGATTTGTTTATGCACTTTTATCATTGTCCTTTAATTGATCAGAAACTTAACATGATTCTGCAGGAATATGTTTAAGATACCTGAAATGAATGAGTTCATTTTCAAATGCGGAATGGTGGAAAACCATCATAAAACAACACTCCAAAACATCATAGATTAGTTTTAAGGTTTTTGGTGTCTGTCCCTTTGAATCAAAGGACAGATTTCATTTGAGACTGACCATATTACCACAATGTTTAATAAGTATATAAGGAGAGATTGATGGCATTTTGTTATTTCATTTTACATGAATCAGTTTCCTGAGGCCTTCCTCACACTGTAAATTAACATTTCAAACTTTATAATATAACCCCAATGTGAATGAATGAACATCTCCTAGAAAATTTAGTGGGATAAAACTGAGTTAAGTTAAAGGAGCTATTTGTAAATTTTTCTATCGTTACATACCAGTCTAGAAGAAACGTTGAGAGTTCAGCATCAAACTTAATTCCTCTTCTTGCCAAGAGCCAATGTCTAAGTTTCATATGTTGAATAACACTTTACAGCCCCAGTACCCACACTGTGTGTGCAGGCAATATTTTCTTTATGAAACTTTACCCATTCTTTTGTTTCTTCACCATCTCAAGGCCACTCTGAGCTCCTGGCAGAACTTTGAAACAGAGAGAGAAACAGTTTGGAGGTTTATCAGCAATACCAACAACGAGCTACACAAAGAACTCATTTTCAACAGCCTGGACAGCCTGAGGACTGAACTGGAGCACAATAAGGTGTGTGTTTGTGACTGTACTTGCATACATGCATATGCTTTGTACCGGGCCCGGCTCTTGGCATGGGCACTGGGGGGTCTATGCCCCACCAAACTGCCCCATCAAATCATCCTGAATTTTCCGATTATTGGTATTTTAAACTACAACCGATTTAAAAATGCGTTACTTTGGCTCGGATGCAGCCGCCTGTGTCTAGTCTGTAGCCAGCACTCCGAGGTCTCGAGCAATGTTCCGCCCACTGAACCACCTGATTGGTTACACGTCACGAGTAATAGCCTATCACGCTGAAGGCTGCTGTGTACACAGACCGTCACAGACTAGGGTAGCTCCAGTTAGCGAGCTGAGCCATGTGTCGAAGGTAAGACAGTAGACATCGCTGAAGACGTAATAAACATCACAATCCTCTACACTGAAGTTACAACAACACTACACTCTGATGGAAAAGTTCATCTGTTGGATCAAGACACACCGAGCGAGAGAGAGAAGCTAGCGCTAACTGCTAAGCTAAAGTAACTAGCGTCTGAGTAGCATGTCAACCACAGCTGAATGAATGTGTTAAGAGGAGCAGAAAGCTCTGAGTGCTGAAGCAGAACTTGTGTAAGTTTAAATGTACAGCAGGTAGTTAGACACTGTGATGAAGAAAACGGCAACATTAACTGTGTTCAGACAGAGCAGCAATAAAATCTCTTCATCTCTCTTAATGCCCCCCCCCCCAATCAAAGCAGTCTAGAACCGGTCCTGCTAAGTACTCCACATTTGCTTATACAATATATTGGCTCCATTTCTGTCTGCAGGGGCTCCTCATGAGGGTTGAGGAATGTTGTGTGCGAGCAGATCTGCTCTTGGAGAAGGCAGCAGATATTCAGCTTGGTCCAAAGAATCAGACTCTTCTTCTGGAGCAGGCCCAGTCGACCAGAGAAGCAGTCACACAACTTCAAGACCACCTCAACAAGAAGTGAGTATAACTGTCTAATAATAATAATAATAATAATAATAATATGCAGAAAGATCTAAAATTGGATACATTCATATCCATTGAAAATGGCTGCCATCTTGGCCAGGTCTCTCTTGTCAAAGAGATCTTTTTCTCTAAATGGGACTTCCTGGTAAAATAAAGGAAAAAAACTTATTTTCACCTCAACTCCCCATCCGTTTGAATTACTAAAGCCATATATGAGAAAAAAATCAAGTAAAAAGGTACTTTTCACCACACAGGGCTTTTAGTTTAACAGCAAAATTGCAGATCTGTCATTGTAATTTCATACAAATTGAGAGCAAAAATCATACTTTTGCTTTTTGGATAAGCCATTTTATTTAATTGGAAGTACCAGTACAGACAAGGGTCTGGAAAAATATTTGGTACACTATTAGAGTAAGATTATATTTAACTGTCATGTGGCGTCTCTGTGGTGTTTGACCTGCTGTTTGCAAACATATGCCAGCATGTGCTTGTTAGTTCTCATTCCTAGATATGCATACAGTATATTTGACTAAATGAATCTTTCCTAATGTGATGTCTTCCAGTGTTGTCCAGCTGGAGATGATGTGTGTGTGGTGGGAGCGCTTCAGCAGTGAATCAGAGACCCTCTCCTCTTGGATCAATGAGAAAGAGAAAGAGCTTGAGGCCATCAGCAACCTCTCCTCCCCGGATCCTTTAGACAAAAACATCAGCAGAGTGGAGGTATGTCATGTCTCACCTTCTATTATAGCATTTTCTTCTGTAACATGTTTTTTTATCACATGGCATTTTTTCCAATTTCATGTCAGCCCCCTTCGGAGGTAAGACAAGTCTCTGACAGAACATTAACTGCATGCTGCAGTGACAATTTTTACAGTCCTTCAATAATCCTCTGATATTCACAAATACATTTTCATCGTCCACAATTTTTTTTCATAGCTCCGAGTGAAATGAGTCAAAATTGCTCCCTGGACTTGTGTCTGTAGTGTACAGTATCAGTGTGGCCCTCAGGGTTATTAAGATTAAGATGAAATAAGATGAAATTTTAATCTAACCCCAGGGGAAAATTGGGTCAGTGCTTCAGCAAAGACGAGCATATAGAAAATAAATTGATCATATTGAAGAAAATATAATCTTGCCCAGCCAGGCCTCAGCCTTGTCAATGTCATAGAGGTCTAGAGAAAATCTGGGAAAAAAATTTGGGATAACGGGACTTTGCAACATCCCGAGGCAGCCATTTGATTTGTTGTAAGCTTCAAAACATTTGCCCCCAGATACATCGCAGTCAGTTTTATTTTCTGCCCAACTTTTTTGGCTGAAATTTTTATAGACCCCAATGAACCTCACAGACAGTACTCTCTCTTTGACAGATAAATAATTCATTGAAGGTTAAAAGTATCACTTCAACTGGGAAATAAAGACGCTAGAAAAATATGTTTGTTTTCTCCTACTATCTCTTGTTCTCTTTTGTTTATTGTATTCTTACCCACATACTTTTCCTTGCGAAAAAACATTTTTTGTTGTTGTTGTTGTTGCATCTCTACAGGAGGTGGGGAAGGGTTTAGAGGAGAGAAGGGCAGCCCTGGTCCACATGGAGGCGGACTGTGAGGCCCTATCAAGGTTTGTGACCCCTGGAGAGGCTGGACGTATCCGGGCAGGACTTACCCAGATGAGGCGCTACTGGGAAGAGCTGAAGGGGAGAGTAGAGCAGCTGGGAGGACAGCTCAACCAGAGCGCCTCCTACAGGCAGAGATACAATGATAACCTTGAACAGGTATTTAGAAACACTTAAGTAAGCAAACATAAAAGTTACATAAGGGATTCCAAGCTCTAATTGCTTTTAAGTACGTGTTTGAGGCCTCATCAATCTTTGGTGTAGAAAGCGTTTTTTTCATTTTTGAATAACTGAAGTTTTTGTCATTGTCAGGTCAAGAAAACAATGAGTGATATTAAAGAGAAGCTTGACTGTCCAATCACGCACTGTTCGTCATCATCTGAGACCTACAAAATCCTCCAGAATCACATGGTGAGACAAAATACAGACAATGCCTAACTTATTATCATCTAATCTACTAACATCAGTACTAAGCTTTATATGATAAATTGTGAAGTCTCAACAATGTTTGTATTCTTTCGGTTTAGTTTAGTTTAGTTTTTGCTGTAATCAACATTATGACATTGTGCATTCTGTAATTTAGCACAGTGGCGCAGTGGTGGTTATCTTTTCAGCATACCTTAAGTTCAAGAGTTTACTTTGTAGCCATTGTGGTTTAACATCCTCTGCTGAGATGATGACAAATACATTTCTGTGTCCTCCAGGAGTCCTGCCAGGCTGTTGAGCAGCTGAAGCCCAGGCTGATGGCTTTGTGTTCGACCATGAAGAGGCTTGGAGAGGGCAGCCAGCTGGAGGACGAGGTGGCTAACCTCCAGAAGCAACAGGGAGAGTTTCTGGGAATGGCTGCAGAAAAGCAAGCTACATTGGAGAGCCTTCTAGCACTGTGGCAAAGGTACAATAAACAGTAATATGTGCCTGAACATCAGCCTGTCTTTGCCTCATACACCCTGTGAAGCTTAATATTCCAACCTTACTTACCAACGTGCTGAATGTTTTGCCATATTGAATACCCGGGCTTGAACCATCCTTTCCAGCTTTTCAGAGATCACATCTGTTGACAGAACAGAATAACAAGAAAAAGTCACAGCAGTCACTGTTTCTCTGTTAGTGTGTGAAAATGCCTCTGTTTACTCATCATGAGCTGACTTCAAATTTTATCCAGGATGCATTGCAAGCTGCTGTGATTCCTTGCCTGGCTGATAGTGTTGTTCTGGTGTGTGTGTGTATCTCTTCAACACCTAGAGGTGGTTTGGTTTGAGTATTTCAGGTGTTTTTCACTTCAAACAAACACAGGGAATATGGAAATAGAAATATGGACAGGTTTTATAAGAAACATTTTTGAGCATATACTGACTGCTGGAGGAGTTTATTACTGTTATACTCTCTTTTTTTGCTGACTGTTTTCCCTGTCAGCCTGGGTCTCGAGACACACACACACACACACACACGTTTATTCTTTTTGATTGTATAAACACTGATATTTCTCTTTTGATTGTGCATGTGCTCTTTCTGCTGAATCCTCCCCTCTATGCCAATTTCCTCTTTTATTGCCCGAATCATTCCCTGACTCAGTGTGAGGTAGAGGAGCAAGATCTTGTCTTTGAATCAGTTTATCCCCCCGTCAGCCTTTGAATTCCTGTTCTAATAATATGCTTTTATTATCATTTTCTTTGTTCACTTCAATAGACTTATCTGGAGCAATTGGTTCTTATTCTTTCTACTATTCAGGAGGGAAAAAAAAAACAATCCAGTCACTGTGGTAACTGTTTAACATGCTAAAGCCTTTACTATGTACCCAGTCAGTGACTCTTTTTTTAAATTAGCTGATTTGTATTTCTGCCGCCGAACCTCCGCTGGGTGTGTGTATGTGTGGTTCTGTGATTCCCTGTAGTCGACCTCATCTCCTCCCCTGCAGGTGTATGTATGAGGGATTACTTAGAGCTTGGTGCTCTGGCGAGATACGGATGCCCCATTATGACCCTGTCATTGATACTGAGCCATGGTCAGATAAAAAAAAATAAAAAAAACTCTCAGACAGTATCACTGTGTGTGTGTGTGTGTGTGTGTGTGTGTGCTGAAGATCATGTGTGTTACTTTAAGATCATCGGCCGTTTACTGGTATCCATTTATCGTTAAATCAACATTTGTGCAGTTCATTTTGAGGATGATGTTGCATCAGTTGTCTTTGATTTGAATACATGTCACCTTTTGTGTCTACAGATTCGAAAAGGAGACTTCATCCATGAAAAGCTGGCTGGACAGGTGTGAGTCTGTTTGCTGTCCAGACACTGAACTGCTCTCTGCAGACAAAGTAAAGCTAAGGAATGAACTACAAAATATACAAGTAAATCATTTCACTTTCCCTTATTTGTCTTTCACTTTTCAGGAGTTTATCTGATTTGTTTGCACGTCACCTTTTCTTGTCATATAGACGGTTCTCTTTCTTTTAAATGTGTGTATCTTTTTCAGCCCTTTTTGAGTTCTGCTTTTACATCATCTGTAACACACTGTGTTTCCTGCAGTTTTGCGTTGCATAATTTTTTAAATATTTATTCACCCGTCCAGGAAATGCAGGGGGAGACACAGTCTTATGAGGTTCTTCTCCAGGGACTTGCGAATCTTGGATTGTGCCTGTATCCCACAGCACCTGAAGCTCGTATCCAAGAGCTCAGTGATGACCTCACACAGCTGCAGGAGAGATCGACGTCTGTGAAGAGCAGCATATCTCACAGGCAATTGTGCTTTTATACATTATTATACAGATAATTTACATCTGTATACCTCTGCATGAGTGGACTCTCATCAGCTTTTTTTCCCCCCAAGTTGTTCATCTTGTTTAATTTTACACTGCAAATTACTAATCACTCTGATATTCTAAACTTCCACCTCTCCCTTAGGTTTGAGTTACTGGAGTCACAGTTGTCACAGCTGGAGTTGTTTGATCAGGCGCTGCTTACTCTGACCCAAAGGAGTGAGAACTTCCTGTCTGTCTTGAGAAGCTCTTCCCAGGTTGATATTGCTGATCTTGAGGCTGCAATTACTAAGCTGAAGGTGAGAAATCAATAATTTGCTGTTAATGATGTTCTCTATAGACTATGTATATTAGAGCAGTTACAGTAAGCAAGTTTATATTGATTGCCGTTAGAGCTCATACTAATTCATCAAATTAAACCGTCTTATTGCAGGAGCATGAGATGCAACTACAGGCGTATGCATCGCTGAGAGAGACACTCCATCAAAGGGAGTCCTCCCTGCTTTGCTGTTCCACCCTGGAAGCCCAGCAGCAACTCCAGGGCTGGAAGGAGGACTGCCTACAGCCCCTGAGAGAATCCCAGCGTCTCTTGCTCCTCCGTAAAGAGTGCCTGACTGAATTAAAGACTTTCCTTGAAAAACATGGAACGGCAGCTAAGGCCGTGCACCGCCTTCATGAGGCCGTGGAGGGAAGGGGGAGCTGGGATCGCGCCAAAGCTGAAGAGCTGCATTATGGAATAGGGGAAGTGGCTAAAGACGTGGCCCGGCTTGAGGCTGAGGCAGTCGGGTTAGACGGGCAGCTGAGCAAGGCACACCTGCACTTGAGTGGGGCAGAGTTGCGGGGCTCCAGAGACACAAACCATCCTCAGGGGAGGACGTCTTGCAGAGGACAGGCAGTGGCCCTCACGATGGCTCTGGAGGAAGTACAGAGGGGCGTGGGATGGAGGCAGAGTGAGGCAGATGCTTTAAGCGCCCTGTGGAGCTCCTTCAGGGAGAGGCGGGAGGAGATGATGAAGAATTTGAAGAAACTGGAGGATGAAGCGAGGCAAGAGGGGGTCAGAGAGAGCTCTGTACAGGCCTTTCAAAACAGGTATGAACTTGATAATCAAGATACAACCAATATCACTATCAGTCCAATGAAAACACTAAAAAGGGACTTTTTTATGAGCTGAGCATGTTTTATTGTTGTTCTTTAACAAGCGCATTTGTAAGAGAAATAAATATCTGAAAATATTTGAATGAAATCATAGAGCTATTGTTTTTGTGTACCTGCAGTTTTACACCTCTCCTCTACCCATGCCAGCTTTGTTGTTCTCGAAATTAGATTGTTGAATACATTCTTTTCTCTTTCGGATGCATCCTGTGAAACCTACTGTATGCCAAACTCCTCAAGAAACATACTGTAAATGAATGAAGCCAAACTATGGACGGACAAATCCATTTAAATCTGATCTCCTGAAAAATGAGATATATTATGTTGGAATTAGGCTAGTGATCCCCATTGTTTTCTTTTGCATCTGCTTCTCCCAGGCTGCGTTTCTTCGTCCAGCTGGAGGATGAGCTCCAGTCCCTGCAGCACTCTCAACAGTGGTTAGAGGAGAAGGGAAGCCAGCTGGCCCAGAGAGACAGTGAGCTGGCTGGGGAGGCTCTCAGGGAGGTAACCCTGGTGAAGACTGCCTGGGAGAACGTCAGGACTCTGATCACCAGCGGGTAAGGAGGGGGAGACGACAGAGAGCGATGTAGATTAATTCATCTAATTTAAAATCCTTTGCTGTATTTGTCTTTGGTCCTGCTGAGCAGCGTTTAGAGAGGCAGGGAGTTAATTTTGGGCTGAAGTAGATTTGATTAAACAATTTTTAATCATTTAAACATGGAAACACATCAGATTAACAGCAGTTGCAGAATCTGTTGGATTTTAACCAACTGATATCCGCAGCCACTTCACAAATAATAGCTCTGACTTTTTTCCCTCTCTTTTTCTCATGCAGTCAGGAACAGAGTGGAGTTGTGGTAGATCTTCTCCGTCAGTTTCACCACCTGAAGTCGATCCTGAGCACTGTTGTAGAAAATGCCCAGGGTGTTGCTCACAATCTGCCTGATCACAATCATAACGCTCAGGAGGCCAAAAGGACTTTCACACGGGTCAGAACCTTTTTCATTTTTCGAAGAAAATTATAGAATTTTTCTGAGTTTTCTTTTCAGATGTTCAGCAGCATTTGTAGCTGTCATTCATCATCTCAAACATGTAATAATATGTCATGGCATGCTGAAACTAAATACCAGGATAGTCAGGACAGAATCTCACTGTAGTTAAATTAAGCACTGTCCAAATTACTGTATTTAACTTGTATACAGTATAACTTCTTTTCATGAGCCAAAAACAGGCCTGTTTTCAGTTGTGTGAAATGTATTTTTCTGGTATTTTATGTGGTTTATCAAGCTAAAGATGCAGAAAAACACTCAACCCCTTAAGGAACACTTAATCCTTTATTTCAAATCAGCAGACTGATTGATAGCTTTCACTGGGCGGCATTTGTTTTCCTTTCTTAAAATGACTGCACTTTGTAATTCTGCAGTTATTTATTTACATGTATCGCAGTTAAAGGTGTATAATCTTACCTGCATATCACTCTATCTGATATCATATCAAACTCTCAGAAATAAAAGCCTTCTAGTTTGTAAACTATCTCTCCCTCTAGTGGTGGTCTGTTGTCATTCCCTCTGCGCTCTTCTCCTTCCCTCCAGCATGAGACTGTCCAAACTGAGCTGAGGGAAAAACAGGAAGACATGGACCAGCTCATCAGTGCAGTGGAAGACCTGCAGAGAGAGCTCGAGAAGGTTCCCAACTCCGACACGCGCTCCATCCAGAGAGACATGCAGACGTTAAGAGACCAGTGGCTGGAGGTGAGTGGTGCCTGAAAACACATGCTGTGCCATGCAGCTGTTTTGGTAAAGTGATCCTGACAGCAGAAGTCACTCAGCTGTTTTTTGTTTTTTTTTTTTTTTTATAGACAAATGTTTGATACATTCACATCCTAGAGCTACTCAGTCAGACATTGTGAAATTTATACTGTCTTGAGATTTGTGGTGTTAATGAATTGTCCTCATCCTGACACGTGCTGCTCCGTGAATTTTCTAAAAACTGTCAATATTATTTTGCCCAGGTCTGGAGCTGAAGTATGATAACAACAACTGTGAGGAGTATGACGAGATTTGTGGTGTTGTTTACTATGACTATGAAGAAAAACAACTCAATTATGACATCTACAGTACAGCTCTGCCAAACTGTTTTAATGATATTTATTTCTGTCTGTTTTCCTTTTTCTTCCATTTTCTCCTCTTATGGGATTTAACTGGCTGCTCAGCTGTCACAAATGAGACAGAAATATAAACAAGTCTAGACACGTTATCTGCCTTTCTGTCTCTCTCTCTCTCTCTCTCACTTCTCAACCCCACAGCTGTCAAACCAATTAAGTCTCGTTTTTCTTCCATCTCCCAGTGCGGCTTACCATCCCTTGTTACAGGGAGACGGAGTGAAAACTAAACACAAAGACGGAGATCCCACGTCTCTTGTTGACTTGAGATGTATGCTGTCCTGTACACAAACAGACTGCTGCTCTCTGTTCCTTCAGGTCTCAGGGAGGATACAAACCAACACAGAGAGACTTGGCTACTGTGTGGCCCTGTGGGACGACCTCAAGACCACGGAGCAGGACATCAACCAGTGGGCCGCCACCGCCATCGCTGACCTCACAGACAGCGTCACCAATCTCGGTGACAAGGAGAAGACAGAGGCCCAGCTCACCACCTTTCAGGTCAGAGCTTGCTGGACAGTCTGCATGAAAGAGTGACCTAATGATGATGGTGGTGTAATATTCAGAGTGAGTTCATAGCAGTTGTGATGTAACCGGCACTTTGTTCTACAGGCGGAGGTTGAGAAGAGGGAGCAGAAGCTGGACGCCCTGCAGGAGAGAGTGGCGGAGCTGAAGGAGCGAGCCAAACTGCAGGAAACCCCATTACAAATGCAGGTGAGTTTGGTGCAGAACAGAAACACAGGAGGAATTTGCTGAAGCTGTTAGAGCAAAAGAATATATATTTTTTTATCTTGTCCTTTAGGCCAGGGGTAATGTTTCACTGAGGATCTGATGTAATGCAATGATGTTGTTGACGTTTTAGGCTCTGTGTAGGTTAAGCACTGAAACTGGAGGCCGGTGGTGAAACTGACATGTTCGTTATATTTGATTGTATTATAAATGTCATTACAATCATTTTTACCTAGCGGGAAGTGGGATTTTGTTTTTTGTTGTATGAGGCAAAAATGTCATCACTAAAGCGAACCCTGTTGTCTGTAATGTTTGCCATTGGTGGTTTTGTGCAACTAGTGTATTGTAGTCACAGGAATGACAATGTAGATATAGCATTACCTCTCAAATGGTATTGCATAAGTATATGTAGATTTTAAATACAATCTTCACAATGTATCAGCATACATAAGAGGAAGAACAGTTCCACATCATGTGACATACTATGATAAACATACTTTCCTCTTTACTCCTTCTATCTTGTCTACATCTGCTTTGGTTGCACAATGTTGCTGAATGTCTTTATTGAACCAGGTCCTGGAGTCAGATCTGAGGAAGAAAATGGCCCATGCGCAGGAGGTGTACAACCAGGCCAAACACACTCTGACCTACTTCAGTTTCCAAAAGCAGCGACTTGAGGACCTCATGTCCCAGATGGCCGAGCGGCTGGAGGCAGTTGAGGGTTCCTTGTCTGACCTCACTGAAGCTACTTCCCCTGAAGATATTGATACTATCAAGGTATGGTACTATCATTGATTATTTATTGTCACTGCATTGTGTTACAAGAATACAGTAATTCAAGAACTATACGTAGTATATATAGAAATGTGATACTTACATCAAAGGTATTTACACAGTCTTCCTATATGTATTCCTATTTCTATTGCTGTCCCTGCTGCTTAATATTACTACTAACCATGCCCTATATAAGGACACATTAACATAGCAATACAAATTTTAATCTGTGATGCATTAACTTTTTAAATTGCTGCCCTTATGACCATAACTGTATTTGTATAGAACCTTTTAAACACAGAGGCAAAGCAATACTCCATTAAATAGAAATAATCCATCAATAGAATTAGCCGGTCAGAGGCCAAGCTCAGCTACATAATAACATCCTTTGAGCTGGGACTCTCTCTTGCTCTAGGACACTTCTGCAGGATTGTTGCAGTACTTACTGTCAATAAGTGGGTTTACATCAGAATGCAGCACACATTTTAACCGCATTTCAATAAAACTAACAGAGGAAATGTGAATTAGTGCACATTTCCTTCCACTGCTGTTATGTGAAAAAGAGGGGGCAATAGAATAGAAAGGTAGAAAACATGAGGGAAACATGGTATTTGTTTGCTTCATGTAAAGTTACAATCTCCTCATTGTGCCACACAGATCCGTTTTTGTCCGACACAGTTTTTTGTCTCTTCAGTAGAAGTTTAAGTCACATGCTTCATGTACAGTATATTATGATTAGTTGACTGTTTCAGCTTTTTGCTTTCATCAATACATAAAAACAGATTGGAAACCCACCGAGTGTCGCTGCCCTTTTCACCACATCCTAGTCTTAATGATAAAGTCATAGTCACATAGTAACATAGTCACCGTTCTCCATTTACAGGACCTGCAGAGCGTTGTGCAGCAACAGCGGGCAGACATGGACTCAGCTAGAGATGCCCTGACCGCCCTGTGCAGGTCACATCCCTCCCAGGAGCTGTCAAGCCTCTCCTCCGACCTCACCTCCATTGCCAAGCGAACAGAGGCTGTTGCTCAGCGCTGTGCCAAGACCAGGGGCAGCCTGCAGGATGGGCTACAGCTTCACTTCAACGGTAAGACATATGATGGGTCAGTTTTGTTTGAATTTTGTTCAGTGTGATAGTCTGTTAGATGTCTAATGAAATTCTTTTAAAGAGGGCTTTTTATTTATTTTCTTTTTACAATTCTTTTTTAAAAATTTTTTTTTTTTTATAGATGTTAATTATATAATAACCAAAAACAGCATTAACAAAATTAACACCAAGAGGACACAAAGATCTTTTAAGCATGGAAAAAAGAGAAGAAAAAATGGGAGCATATTTACACAAGTCTGGTCTGAAGGTTGCAACACAGGTGGCACCATTTAGTCCACTTCTCAACAACTGTATCTTTGTGAGTTCTCAAGTTAAAAGTAATTATCTCCAGTACATAAATATTGTACACCAGATCAATACACTCATCAGCACCAGGTATTTCTTTTTTCAGCCATTTCTTGGACGCCACCAATAATAGTCACCAAAAATATTTATCCATCTTCCTCCATTCCAGCTCATCCAGTTTAATCCAGTACATCAATTCAAAGATGTAAATGATTTTGGTTTGGGAGACAGGCTCCAGGATGCTATGAAGTTTAGTCCAAGATGGAGCCACCGAAGGACAACTCTAAAATCCATGAAAATGATTTGCATATTTGTTCCCACAAGATCTCCCACAGATGATTTGAATAAGGCTTCTTTTAAGCAAGGGTAAAAAAAAAAACAACAACAATAACAGCTAGCATACTTTCTTCAGGATGCAGACCTGTTTTACAGTGTTGTTTAAATATCTCCTCCCATTTCTCTTGTGTGATTATCAAACTTCCCCCCTGTCCCTTACAGGCTTCGTAAACTCGCTAATGGTAATTATTCGTCTTAATTGATTCTGTGCATAAACTAAGACTCGAGTAGCATATCAAATTTCATCTTTGAATATCAGCCACAGTTTCCTTGGTAAGAATCCTATAATTGATTTCTTCCTGGTAAATCTTTGGGTATTTGTATCCCTAAGCATTTCACTGACTTTTTTTTCCAAACCTAGCTGGTATTTTTCACAAAGGTCTGGAGGTAGATTACACCTGAAATTAAGAACCTGTGTCTTTTGGACGTTTATTTTATAACCTGAGTAAGTAAATAAAGTAAATAATCTACTAAAAAATGACATCAAGGCTGGTAGAGATTGTGTTGAGCTTTCCAGATACACATTGGCTTTATTTTTCTTTATGTCCATCAAATAAACTGAGTAATCTGTGTAACAGTTACAGCACTCATGTAGCCACTATAACTTACTCCCTGATGAGGAGCAATTGGGATTTTAATAACACTTAAAATCTCATAATCACCCATTGAAACACAACACAACTACATGGTGCAATGTCATTTGTTCTTTTTAGTGGTGCAACAGATTTAGTGTTGATTATCCTACATTTTTCCCCAGAGCGCACTCAATCCGCCCACCACAACCCACACTCCATTGACACACACGGTCTGGTACACCTTTGCGCTCTCATTGTTCAGACACACACCTGTGCCTCGGAGAGTAATGGCGCTCTCGTCACATCTGCTCTCGAGGGAGTCATTTTGGGCTTGTTGCCAGGGCAACCTGGAGCTGCACAGCGTAGACACGCCCACACTTCCCATCTGCCTCAACACATCTCCTCCTCTCGCTCCCCTACGTCTGTTTCCTTCACTTTTAAATCTTCTCGGCCTTCATCTTACCACACATCAGGGGTTTTTTTTCTCAACTTGTCACTCTATTTCTCTTTTTTTTTTGTTTCACTGGTTCTCTCTCTCCATCGATGCAGAGCTCGTCCAAGACTTGCACTCCTGGCTTGCAGATCTAAAGTTGGAGCTGAAAGAATGTTCAAACCAATCAGGAGATGTTTTCATTCTTGGAGCCAAGTTACAAAGGTTGAAGGTACTGTTATATCATACTCTAACTTACTCTTACTGATGGTGCAGTTGCTAGGGAACTGTGATTAATCATGGGCACATTCAGGTCTGTCATGATCAATAATAACAACACCAGACATTGTGACACCACAATCATTTTATATTAAGAAAGTTAACAGATTAGTGCAAATAATTATCATGGTAAATATTTAAGAATGAAGTGTATACATTTCTCATACTTTCCTGTATTGTCCTTTGGAATAAAAGCATCATCAGATACTATACATAATCATCAATAATGCTTCATAGGACCAAGCTAAATCTTGTATTTAACAAACATCTTCACTTGGAAAGTAGTAGGAATTGTGCTGAGAGTCAAACAAAGACTATAGATACTTCCAGAGAAGGACGTAAGAGTAATGATTTTATGAAGCCTCTTATTTAAGCATATTTTACCTACATGAAGATTGCTTTAAATCTAAATCTAAATCTGAGGGTTGTGACTGTCAAATTTAGCTGGAACATGTTCTTCCTCCTACACCCACAGGTGTCAGTCAAGCAGACATCAGAGGGTGAGGAGCGTCTCTCTAAGATTTGTGAGGAGGCTGCGACGCTCCAAATCCACCTGCCCAAAGCTGGAGTAGCACAGGTCCAAGAGCATCTCTCCTCCTGTCAGAGAGAGTGGAGGAGCTACCTGGACAGCTGTTCTCAGAGCCAGCGAGACTTGGAAGAGAGTATTTGCCTCCTGAAAAAGTGAGTCTTCACTCTTGTCATGTCATGTATATTTATGTAAAGAAATTTCAATAAAATGGGAATTTGCCTCTCCTCCTCTCCTCTACTCTCTTCCTCTTCCCTAACAGCTTTGATGAGTGTGTGGAGGGTATAAGAGACTGGCTGAAGCAGATGGAGCTCAGCCTCAAGAGCGAGCCTGTTCTTGGGGCAGAGAGCCAGCAAGGTGCCCCTGACACCACAGAAGAGCTGGAGCGGATGGAAAACCTCCATAAGGAACTGCTAGCGAGAAGGTATTTATATGTGGGTGTGAGGCCATAGGTTATAGATGGCATAACATCAGCTGTTAAATATTCGTAACAAAAACATATTATTCTTTCTTGTAAGGGACTCTATCGAGCGTGTCTGCCAGGAGGCCCAGTGTCTGTCTGAAGCAGGTCGGGGGTCAGGAGGAGAGGTCAGAGTGACAGGCCAGCTCCAGATGGAGCACCAAGCCCTACTGAAGGCAGCCAGGGAGAGGCTGCGAGGCTGCCAGGAGAGTCAGGCCTTTGGAGAGACCCTCCAGGGAGTTTGGGCCTGGCTGGAGGAGATCCAGGAGAGACTGGGTACAGTAGACAGCACAATGGGGACCAAAGAGCAGTTAGAGCAGAGGCTGGAGACTGTACAGGTGAGGAGGAGGGGTTTGGATAGTCGACCATATATCTTTTAAATTTCCATGAATTATTATACAAATGATTGTTGTTAGAAGTTTTAGGCATGCACGTACTGTATTATATTGTTCTTTATCATTTCACCATTTTATACTAATATATTTTTTGGACTTCTATTTCAGTCTATAGAGGGGGCTGTTTACTTGAGAACATTTCACCCAAAATTCTGATGTCCAACTGTGACCCCGCTCTGTTTGCACAGGACATCCTGCTTTTGAAGGGGGAGGGGGAGGTCAAGCTGAATATGGCGATGGGTAAGGGTGAGTTGGCCCTGCGCAGCTATGGAGCCGCTGGACAGGACGTGGTCCGCTCTCAGCTTCAGGAAGTGGAGGATGCATGGGCCACGCTGCTTGTGACTGCCATGAGCTGCCACAGGTAGACTGCTCACCTTGAATGATCAGCTAAAATGCCATTTAATGGCTGTAATTCTAAAGAAGTGATCCTGTCTGTCATCATTGCACTGAAGAATTGTATATACTGTTGTGAACTGTAAGCATATTTTCATTTAGCCATTTTTGCTTTTTTAATGTGCCTTTAAATCATTTTCCCCTGGACATTTTAGAGGCCAATTACCTGTGCGCCAAAAAATCCTCTCTTGGGAACATGATTGTTATTTTCATCTTGATAGATCGATGTCTGAATGCCATTAATTACCATTAGGTTAAATACATAATGAGAAATATTTGTCTCATTTTGTAACTCTGACTGATGTATCTGATTTAGCGAGTGCTCCTCTGTGTATGTGTGTGCATGACAGTGTGCACATGCACCAGTTTCTGTGTGTGTGTGTGTGTGTGTGTGTGTGTGTATGATTGAGCAATTATGGGCACTCCAAGAAAAAATTGATCTCATTAGGGGCTAAATAGTGGATGGCAAACAGTGGGTCACACATGGGGTGTGTTTGTATTATAAGGAGAAAAGGATAACAGGAGGCAAGGGGTAGCAGGTGAAATGGAGGTGCATGTGTGTGTGAGTGTGCAGATATTGGCGTTATTTGTACATGCAGGGGTAACAGATGGCAAGGAAAATTATGGGTGTGTATCTGTGTCTGTGTGTGTTTGAACCCCCCGATAAAAGGGGATAAAGGCAATAAGCCAGTATTACAGGCTATTTATGTTTCTTGGCCATGTCTGGGTCTGAAATAGACTTTGTGCTTTATATACAGAGGAGAGTTTTGTCTTGTACCAAGATTATCTGAGTTTAAAGTGACATGTATGAAATATAACAGTAGATGCATTTTATTTTCTGTTTTTCTTTTTATTCAGACTGTAAAATTCCCATGTGTGCCAGTCACAGTCTAACACAGAGATCCATTGTCTCCCTTTCAGTCGACTGGAGTGGACCGTCACACAGTGGGGAGGATACTTGGACAGTGCTGCCCAGCTGCGCTGCTGGATGGAGGCTGTAGAGCGGGAGGTGTGCGCCCCGCTTACCCCGCAGCCCGGGCCTAGAGAAAAGGCCTCTCAGCTAGAGAGACTTAGAGCCCTGCTGGCTGACCTGGAAGACCACCAGGTGGCACTATCTAGCCTGGAAGAAAAAGCCAGAGAGCTTTTCAAGAAGACTGGTGATGCCAGCTTTAACCATGGTGCTCGGACGCAGCTGCAGGCACAGTTTGATGACCTTACAACTTTGGTGGAGGTACAGAGGATTGTTACTTTATCCTTCGGTACAGATAGTAAAGAAACCATCTTTTAGCTTGCTGAAACATTTTTGATGATCTTATCAGTTACCAAAGAATGAACATGAAGTTTGTTTGTGTTGATTCTGTAGGAGAGAGTACGTCTTGCGCAGGCCGTAGTGTTGGAACACCAAGAATACCTGGAGGCTGTAAGGGAGCTCACCGACTGGCTGATGACTGTAGGAGAGGAGCTGCAGCATTGGTCTGATACATCAGGAGACTCCAACTCTATCAAAAAGAAACTGTCAGAAGTGAGGGTAAGTATTGATCTCATACTGTATTAAAACTTTTATCACTATAAACTAGCCTACAGTATGTCCTGCAGTTGATTTGATGTCTGCAACTTATACTTTTCTTGTGACTCCTATGGACGTTTTTGTCATCTTTATATATTTTTTGTCACTTTTGTCAATAATCAAATTCCTTGTTTGACAATCAATCTGATTGATATATTGACAGATCATATTTGATAATGTCCAACAGGTGAGAGGACTATAATGCTGTAGAGCATAAGTGTGTCCTTTCTGGGGCAATGTTAATGACTTCATTGTCAAAGAAAACTATCCCACTTTACTGCAATATTTAAATGTTTAAATCACATGTTGATATAGTTATGATAGTGCTGGTTTTTGTTGACACTTCTGTATGATTGCGTTCTCGTTATTGTGACATTTTTATTAGGCACTAAATACACTTGAACTGAGATAGTATTACCTCTATGAGTATTGCACACCATAAAAATATATTAGAATAATAATTCAACTCAGTGCTGCTGAAAAATGATGACGGTTTATGTTTTTATTTTTAGGTACTGCCAGTGTAACAGTAAGCAATGTTTCTTTGAATGAACACCATTATGCGTGTGTGTCATAGGCATGCCTCGGGGTGTGTGGTGCATCTGTGAACCTACACCCAGTTTTAAGGTTTTATTTGTATTATCTGTTGCTAAGGTAACTGATTGCTGAATTATCGGAACCTATCTAATCTTAATGGACTCCTGCTATGAGGGAGGGCAAACTATATAGGGAATTGAAATTGGTTCTCAGTTTGTTCCCATATCACAGCCAAGTATCTCAATCTCTCCAGGCACATTTTTACTGCCAATACGTTGATCTTTTACCGTGTAAAAAAAAAAAAAAAAAAAAAAAAAAAGAGTTAATAATGAGTAGCAGTGGAATTAATGTCTAAGCCTTTCCCTGTTTAATAATTCTGCAATTATAGAGGAGAGGAAAATATGTGAAGAGATATTGATTTGCATTTGAATTTCACACATGGGCCTTAATTATCACATTATAAATGTGTGTTTGTAGAGCCATGGTGTGAAGCATTTCACTAAAGGAGGAAATATAATTTGTTATATACACAAGCTGTTTGCACCATTTTCATTTCCCATTCATGGTCTCAAGGTTAATGGTCATATAATATCACGCACATCAAAAGATCAGATGCTGTTTTCTCTTTCTCTTTGTAATCCCTCTATCAGCTTGCTGCTATCACATCACACTCAAGTGTTTGCTTTTCACACCCTCTACCTTCCAAGTGCTACCTCTCCATTCAGAATGAGAGATGGAGGCGTAGAGTGATGGAGACGGAGGATGAAATTAGTAATAGTGAGAGAATACTGAGAAAGCAAATGAAAATGCAGGATGTCGCAACATCAGAAGAGTGCAGGGAAAAAAAATCCAAGAATTAGATATAAAGATAGAAAGTGATGGAGCAGGAGACATGTGAGAAAATGATTATGTGGGCAGCTTCAAATAGAATCGACTGCACATCCGGAGATTGTAGTTTCCGTAGCCACAGTTTCCGTAGCAACTTTGTCTCCTCTCTACCTTCCCTACCTCCTCAGGAACGTGTGGAGTGTCGGTTACTTGAGGGCCGAGAGCGCCTCAGCCGGGTGCGTCGGAGCGCAGCAACCGCGGCGGAGCACACGGCGGCGGGAGGCTGCGAGGCCATGGACCGACAGTTGGGGGCGCTGTCCCAGGCTCTGGAGCAGTGGGAGGGGGCCGCTCTGAGGGCCAGGGACGGCCTGGAGGGGGCCCTCGCAGCTGCTGCGGCTTCGGAAGAGGAATACAACCGTCTGACCGCTCGGCTGGAGGACGAGTTGAAAGAGCTGGATGGACGGCTGAGGAGGTGGGGCCAGGAGCTGATTAAAGCTGAAGGGCGGAGCAACGGCGAGGAAGCAGTGGAAGGATGGCAGCTGGCTAAGGTACAGTAACATGGGATTTAAATAAATGGCAGCATAATGTCTAAATTATTCACTATTCATCTGCTCACAATGGTTGATTTAAAAAATAATAAACTCTTGTGTTCAGATGGGATTTGGGTTGGCGAATTGTGATGTGTAAAAACTGACAGGGGCTACTGTGCAGTTCTGCACTATGTTAATTTTAGAGAAGATGATTAGCATTGTTTAATGGAAAGGACCCACAGGCACACACACATTGTGCAGACATACATCTTCTGCATTCAGCTATGCTTTCTCTGTCAGTAATTATCCATTCTATTTGTAAATCCTAAAAACAGATTAGTTTGTAAATCAGCTTTACTGGGATGACGAAGGAGTGACAGCTACAATCCCATCAGTTTCCCTCATTTTCTGCCCCCCCCCGTTCCCTCTGCCCCTCCTCCTTTTGTTTTTTTTTTTTGCCATTATTTCCCACTATCTCTCCCTCCCCAAACATTCCCTTATTCATTTCCTTCTCCTTTTCCCTGTCTGACTTGTTTGAACTGAAGTGTACAGTGATGTCTTTCTTGGCTGCAGGGGTTGTTTCTTAGATGCTCCTGCCCCCCCCCCCCTCCCCCCCTCCCCGCTGCTCTGTTTCTAACCTCCACAGGATGTTTACAGTGTGACATTTTCTCTGTATTGTCAAGGCCATGCCAGCATGTACACCGTCATATTCCTCCCCAGGCTTCTTCAGCCATGCCTTTCTCTGGTTTTCCTCAATTTGGGGCTGTCAGAGAACAGAGGAGGAGTCTCCCCCTCCTCCTCCGCTTCTCTCTCTCCTCCTCCAGCCTGTTTCCTGTGTCCAGCCTTGTTTTCGTTACGCGCCCGTTTGTGCGCGTTTGAACCAATCCTGCATCTGTGAGGGCTGACAGCTGAATTCCACCGGGAGAGAGCGTGAGAGAGTGAGAAAGAGGAAAAATGTGTGAGAGGGAATAAGTGCAAGGAGTGGGAGGGGGGGGTGGGAAAGAGGAGAGAGGAGGGAAGAGAAAGTAGTAGAACGATGTGAGGAGGGAGGGAAGGAGGAGAGGAGAGCAACGAGTCCACAAGAACAGGGAGGGAGGGTTGTTTATTGGTCATACGTCAGAAAGAAAGCGAGCGAGCGAGTGAGAGTCAGAGTGAGAGAGAGAGCTTGTACATATTTCATGGGACAGGATTTCATGACAGTGTGAGTGCAGAATGTGAGGCACGCTGAGGAGAGCGGGAGAACGTTATCCACAGCTCCTTCCTGCCACACTCCGCGAAGAACAGAAATGCTATTGTACAAGCAGCACTGTGAGTATGTGTTGGAGAGAGAGAGAGAGTGTGTGTGTGTGTGTGTGTGTGTGTGTGTGTGTGTGTGCGCGTGTGGATGTGTGTGTGTGTGGATGTGAGAGAAAAGAATCGAGTCAGGGTGTGAATAGGAATTTGAGCGCTCTTATTAGAGGGTGTCATGCAGATCCGTTGGGTGTTTGTCTCTCCTTGACACCTACACACACACACACACACATGCACGCACGCTGAGCCAGCTGGTGTTTGTCCGTGTTGTTTAGGATATACTGGAGGGCTTGCAGAGCGCGGAGCCGATGGCAGAGAAGTTGAAAGGCCAACTGAACGACTTGGTGCGCTACTCCAGAGACCTGGGCTCACAATCAGACCGGGTCACCGCAGTTATCAAACAGCACAACAGGTGAGAGGAATCTTTCTGTGTTAGTGGACAGTGTGTGGTGGCTACTTGTGTGTGTGTGTGTGTGTGTGTGTGTGTGTTTTCGTTACGTGGATATGAAGTGAAACTGAGATTTATTAGCTAAGGCTGGGCAATAACTTATTATTGTTTATATGATAATGACATGATCTTACCATGTTATTGCTCTACATGTCAGTAATTAGCTGTAGCTATAATTATAAACTAATACATTAGTTATGAAAGTTTTTTTTTTTTACACATGTAAGAATTTGGTTTCATGCAATGCATAACAGTGCAACATAGCTGCTTTGCATAACTGCATAATTTATTTGAATGTTAATTAGATCATCGTATGATTTTGCATATATTTTTTGTACTGTGGCATCAGACTATGAATGTATCTTTAATAATATTGTGATTAAGATTTCATTCATGTTGCCCATTCCTGTTTATTAGCCCACTGGGAGAAGTTTATTGTACATAATGATATTACACATAATGCACAAAACCAGACAGTGCATGACCCAGTCATTCATTCCACAACAGCAAACACAGGGTTGAGTTCTCCCAAAACACAGCTCACATGTCTGAATGAAAGGGGTTAGTGCCCAGTTTTATAAGCTTACTTGTGTTAGAGTGTGTCGATGTGTGTGTATGTACGTGTGTGGCCATCTCACACACAGAGTGGTGATGTGTGTCAGCCAGACGGAGGTGAAAGGTGACAGAGTGCACAAGAGCCACCAGTTGCTAAGCGACATTTCACCACCTTCCCTTCACCTCCGCTTGTTCACTGCGTTTATTGTGGTTTGTGTCCTTCTCCGATTTGAATTTTACTCGAGGCTGAGTGTGATTTTGAGAGAAATCAGATACATTTGGATGGTCTTTGTTTTCCATGCTGATAAGTTGTTAGTTAGTCTATTTACTGAGTTCTAATTGCCTACATTCATCGCTTGCTTGTGAATACACCACACAGTACCTTTACAAAAGAACAACCGCATACGAAACAACACAACCATAGATATTTAACACATGCATACACAAGCATGAACTTATCTGCTTAATTTGCATGGATGTAATATTAATTTAGCCATTTTGTGATACTGCAGGGTAGTGTGATGAAGCACTGTGACTAACGTTTATTGGCAGACAACCTGAGTGAGGTCAACTTCTTGGGGATGCTTTGGCGGGTAATTGGCCTTGGCTGCTGATTGGCAAAAACTGCACCCTTCCCCATTCACTCGGCTGTTTAGGCTGTAATAGACTTGGCCTGTGTGCTCTTTGCACCTGTCCTGCATTAAGCACTGCGGAAAGAAGAGCAAAGAGAGAGATAGAGTGAAAAAAAAAAAAAAAGTAGTCAGAAGAGAGGAGATAGAGGAGGAAAAGGCAGTAACTCCCCTCCTCCTCCTTATAGCAAATGCCAGATTTTGTCTGTCACAGCAGAAAAAAGTGCTTCTTCCACACTCATGCTATCCCCACTGTGTTACCCTTTCATGCCCTCATCGCATCATTAAAACTCAAGGGTGTTTGTGTGCACATCTTTGTGTCTATTAAAGTGTGTTTGTGTGTGTTGAGGTGTGCTACAGTAGCAGGGGGTGTGTGCTTTTGACTTCTTTTTTCCCTGCCTCCCTTTGGACAGTTACTCTTGCTTAAACAGCTGCGCACCTTGTTTACCTGCTGTCATCCTTTCCATCACTTCTTCCACCCACCCCCGCCTCCCCGCATAACCTTTACCCACAGCCCACTATGCAAGAAACACAATGCTTTTTTTTTTTTCGTCATCCTACATCTTTGTCATTTTCAGTCTGAATTTGAATTCACTATTATGCACATTAGGATTTTGCATGCTATTAACTCAAAGTATTGTTTGTGCAACTGAGGTTTCATGGCTGTGTCAAACGAAATCGCCAAACCTAATCATAGGGTTAGGGTTATGTGCTAGTATCTGTAGAAATTACATCAATATTGTACAGTTCATTCAGTGCCATGCAGGTAGTAGTGTGACCTGAAAAGAAAGTGTGGAGGTGGTGGATGTAACTTTCACTTTCTTTTACACAGGAGATCGACTGTGATTCATGTTTGCCAATATTAACTGCATCCGCAATCTTTCCCTCAACTTAACCGTACTGTAGCTGCCAGGTGAAGATACTGTAGAAAGAGAATTTGAAAAACAATTGTCCAGTTTTGACATTTTTGTCTGCATCACTCATTATTCCACCTTGTAGTATTATGGATCATGGTGTTAACATTCTTCCTGTCTTTATTCACTCCTTTAGCTGTTCCTTAAAGACAGACTTTAACATTTTCGATTTCAGTTTTATTCATCATGTATTGCATGTGTTGAAATCCTTTCATATACAAAACGTCCTTGACTATATATAACACTTGATATTATCAGTCTGTAGCTGTAGTCCATGGTTCAAGCTATAAATTCTGAGGGATATTTTACTTACAGAAAAAAGTCTCAGCGTGTGATAAGTTGTTGGTGAAGAAATACAGACCACTAAATCCCGAATGTCAAATGTCTCCCTTTAATATACCATCATCCTTCACCGTAACGTCTCCCTCACATGCATTTTCCCTGCCACATCCCTTCCATCTCACGCTTTTTCTTACGGCATCATCCTGTCATTGCTCATTCTCTCCATCTTGTCACCCCTGTAAAACTCTTGCCCCACTCATATGTTGCCTCTCAACCCCCTCCTACGCAGTACCCCTTAACACCATCCCCCCGCTCTCCCTCTTTGCCTCAACGCTCATTCCTTCCACTTCACCCACTTTGCCATTTCTCCACCTGCCTGCTTCTCACTCGTGGTCCTCTCCTAGGCTTCCCTTACTCCTCCTCCTCCTCCTCTGTAATTTGAGGCCAGTTTTTACAGTATCCGAGCATCTGCTCATGTATCGTCTTTGTTTTGGCGAGCACATGGGCGGCAGACAGCAAACACTTCCTGCGGTTGTAACGCCTTTCTTTCTTTGTTCATTTAAACCTCTGAACAACATGTTGAATCCGTCCTTTTTTCCTTTCTCTTGTCCCCCAGTCTCAGTCTTCGTGCATCCAGAGAGTGTCAAAACAAGGAGCGCTTGTTGGAGCAGAGGTTCCGCACAGCCCTGAGAGACTTCCAGCAGTGGCTGGTCAACGCCAAAATCAGCACCGCCAAATGCTTTGATGTGCCACAGAGTGTCACAGAGGCCTCCACTGCTCTGCAGAGGATCCAAGTAAGAGATATCTTTTGTTCAGCCCTTACTGACACTTAACACCTGTGAAATTTTTCTTAAAACATTGATATTAAAACATTGGTCATGTGCAGTCTTTACAATAATGTTTTTTTTTTTGCACTGCACATTGCAGATGTCATTTTGAAGTCACACTTTATTCACCCCATTTAGTTTTTGCAGCTCACACATAGTTTTGTTTCTGTTTATTGCTGCTGGAAATTTGAAATGCATCACCTCCTGCGCGCCAGAGTTTTCCCAGGACAGACCCACCAGACACAGAGCAGCAAATATACAGATTTAATCAGATTTTTGCTGTATTAGTCCGGGATAGAAAGTCGTAGAGTTTTTATTTATTTGAATGAAAATGTCATTGTGTGTCCAGTTTTTCTGAGAGAAGAATGATTTTTTAATAACTTGCTTTATGCTGCTGAACTGGTGCATGGACGATAAATAATAATAATACTCATTCATAATCTCATGTCTGAGAGCCACCACCCAGCTGGGCCATGTAGTCCTTTTACTTGTGGTCATTATCTAGCTCCACTGAAGCAGTGATACTTTTAGAGTGAGTAGCTCATGATAGTGGGGTTAAGGGAGTGTAATTTATTCACTTACATAACCCAGAGGTTTTAGCCTGTTGAGGGAACAAAATCATCTTGTCATAAAAGTGTTTTTGTTTTCTTTTGCCTGTGCACTGTAACCACTCCTGGAGAAGCTTTAAATCATCATGCACGCTAAATCCACAGTTGCTATTTACAAACTATAGCTACATTTTATTTTTTTCTGTATGCTAAAGATTGGTACCACGAATAGAAACAATGTAATAGTTGAAGAAAAAATCTGCTTTCAGTGGAAAATTGCTCAAGGGTATGTCTGTATTGACATGCCCACTGTTGAGTGTCCTCTGGTGGGCTTGTTGGAGTGACGGGACCTGCCGTAGGCTGGATAAGCTGGAAGTGGGCCCATGGCCAAGAGGGATGAGAGAAAGGTCCACAGCGGGGTCTCTCTGCCATTCTCTTCAAAATATCTCATGTGTCTCTCTTTCGAGAAGTCTCTGTGTCTTTCTATGGGAAGCTGGCAGGTGTAACAGTCTGGCAGCCACTTTAGAGCACCCCGGGGCCCTGGCTAAGAGTCAGGTGCTTGTCGGTTAAGGTAGACGTCCCCACGTCCCTGCACCAGACAGTTAATTACCTCTCAGACACCTGACCATGTCGACCACTAGTGCTTTGAGCTGAGTCTTATTCTAAGATGGTAAATCTACACTTGTAAAGCGCAGAACATTTTAGGTTTTAGTTCAGTGGTAGTAGTACACGTGATACTCGATTTATTTGATCCACAGTCACGTGGTCACCGAAAAGAGCCGGGTCACAACGGCAAAAGAACGCCGGGTTATTTGAAGAGATTCATTTTCTGAAAAGCTGTCCAAGAGGGGACGCACTGTGTAGGAGTTTTTGTCTGTGCATGTTCAGGAGTTCCCTCTGTAGCTTTGAGGATGAGAGCGAGTATATGGCAGCAGAGGAGACAGAAATACAGAGGCAGTGATGTTTTATTTATTATTGACTTGGTGAGGAATGTGGAACAATGTTTCCACATGGCTGACCTCCAGGAGGGCCAGCCTGGGAGGGGCGGGGGGCATCCATTGTGTTACACTTAATTGGTGGTATAGAGTTACACTGGCAGGGGGAAAATGGTAGCAAGTGTGAAAAAGACAGTGAATGAACGCAGAAGAGAGAGAGAGAGGGGGAAGTAAAGAGACAGGGAGATGAAAAGGGACAGAGAAAGAGACAGACTTTCCATGCTTGTGTGTGGCTGTACTGTACTCAGTGTGTGTGTGTGTGTGTGTGTGTGTGTGTGTGTGTGTGTGTGTGTGTGTGTGTCGCGGGGGGGTGTGTGTGAGTGAGG